AATTGGAAATCAGTTTCATTAGAAGCTTGATTTCTTCTATGACTTCCACTACAGCTACCAAACAGGCATATCTAGAACTAGCATTCATAAATATCAAAGACTCTCACAGGTTCTGAAGCATTTGGAAACATCTGAAAGAGCTCCACTGCAGAGCTGTTTCACACAAAATTTCATAAGAGAAAGCTCCCTTGTCACCAAGTGCCACATACACAGAGAAAAATTTACGTAACAAAGCAAGCTTTCCTTTTGGAATCCTGATTTTAACATTTTACAGGTAGTTTCCCTCATTCAATTAAAGCTACTGTCAAAGGCACAACCACTCACCATCTCTTTTACTTTGCATGGCACACATTTCAGTAAGTGGGTTCTTTTAAGTGTTTACTATTCTCAACACAGAGTCAGAACCCATCTTCTTACCTAAAACGTCTCCCACGCTGCTGATTCATTTTTGCTCTTGGAGCTACTCCATCAACTGCCATGAAGAAAACCTTCCTTGGTTTAATAATGCGAAACAGTACTTCCAAATAGTGAAAAATATTGGCAAAAATCTTATCTTCTGAGATTCTGAAGTGGACATCGTCATCATTTGGATGTGAACACTGATGTATAATGCCATTCATGTCCAGGTACAAGTTGTCAAATTCTGGAATCTGCAAATGCCACAGTTAGCACCACCTGGTGAATGCAGCCACTGCCCAAGGCACACCTGAGAGCACTCTGGAAATGAGCACCTCTGTGAACCTCCTGCACACCCACAGGCAGAGTAGGAGTATCTGGGTTTGCCTTCACATGCAATCTGTTACTACGATTTTCCTCTGTGAGCCAAGCCAGCTGAACAGATTCCTACTTTATCCTGGCTGTTTCTGGAACCTCAGGACTTTTGTCCCTTGGCTCAGACTATCTTCTACATTGTAAAATGGAAAAGCAAACCAAAACCACTGTTTTCAGGAAGATTTTTTTCTTCTTTTTTGTAAGCCTGCACATTTAACCAATTCAAACTTTCATAGCTGCCCTACAAACAATAAAAACTGAGTATGCAATTTCCAACAATATTTCCAAGCAAAGCTGGCTTAAGAACTTTTACAGTTCTTCCCCTGTTCAGCAGCTCCTACCCCAACCACTGCATGCTATCTCTTCAGCTATGCTTGTGAGCATCTTTGAGTCTAGAGTGGAAATTAGCACCAAAAGCAGAGAGTGGGCAATAGTAACATAAATTTCTTACCCAGGCTTTCTTTTTCCATCTAGTCCTCTGCTCTTCTAACAGCCTTATCTACAGCAGTTACACTTTCTTTTAAAGGAAAAAGAAAGCCCTCCCAAATGTACACAAGCAACATACAGAGAACAAACACTGGTAAATGTATGACACAAAGGGGTCAGCACTACCTCGGTGTTAGCAAAATGCACCACAAGACCAACTGACATTAAACACATCTATTCCCTAATCCCCCAGTAAAACTGAGCACAAAATGCCCCCACCATCACACCTTGGAAAAGGCACTGCCAGCTTGTTACAGTTTTCTATAGCACTGCTGCTGACACATCTTTAAAGTCACCTTGTTGGGCTTGCATTTATCCTCCAGATGCAAGAGAAATGTAACTGTCTTAGAAAGAAGAAATGGTGAAGAGAAGAAATTCGAGGCAGGATCAGGAATGATCCCCACTCAACTGCTGTAACTAGTCTGCTGTTGCACATCATGATCTTTAGTATGGTTAAACTCAGTAACCAAACTGCTCTCCATGCTTTCAGCTAAGTGAGCAGGGCAGTGCACAGACAGCATTTTAAAGAGACAAAAACTAAAGCTTTTACATGGAAACAACAGATATGAAAGGTCCTATATTTTCTTCAAGACACACAGCTATGATTTAACAATAATGCTGTTCTACATAGATAGGCCTTTCAATTTGTTGGTTTGGTTTTGTTTTTTCTACTCTTAGCATATAATCTAGATGCCAATATGTGTCAGTTTGTATATTCAAGTGACCTGGAAGGGTTAAGTCATGTTTACTGTTTATCTGAAGAGCTCTAACTGCCTCTTTCAAAAGGCATCACCCCTTGCTGCCAATCCCCTGGTTAGAGCAGACACTGCTGCCTCCTCAGCTTGCCACAGTTCCTCAGCACAAGTTTAAAGATGTGTGAGCAGCAAAGGCTTCTAAGGAAACAGCAGAAAAGGCAGCATAAACTGCTGCTGCCCTGCTACACAGATAGCTTTAGACACTTCAGACAAGGCCAACAGATCATAAGCAAAGTCCTAAGCTTTAAAAAGCTGCTTTAAAACTAGCAGGTAAGGCCAAACATGCAAGTTGGGAATCACTTGAGCTGGGCATCTTAGTTACACTGACACAACAGCTATTTAATCTCTAAAAATCACAGCTGTTTAGGGAAAACGTATCAATATTCAAACACACTCTCAATTATCATCTATCTCAGAACATCCTTATTCAATCTATAAAACTACATCTGTGACACCAGCTGAAAATGATAATTAGAAGCGCTTGTATCCAACAGGTACCAAACGTGGTATCTCTGAAAAGATGACGTCTTGGTCCAACTGTTAGAAGTATGATTTACGGCTTTCGTTTCCCAGGCTTAAACATACTTCCCGGTTCAGCTGCTAACACAAACTGTCCGACGCAGGCAATAACAAGGAAACGCAGCAGAGCTGTAAAACCTGTCCCTCGTCATTACCGCGCCATTGGCCGTCGGCAGCTGTAACTTTTCTGAGCCCAACAAGGAGCAAACTCCGACCATGGGCTGTCCGCGGGTGCTGAGGCAGCACCGCGGAGCTGCCGAGGGGACCCAGAGCGAGGGGAGAGAGCCCGGCGGGGCAGCCACGGGCCGGGACCCGCCGCGGGCCGGCCATTCCCGGGGGAACGGGGCACTCTGGGTCCGGGACTGCTGAAAGCACCGCCGGCCGCCAGCCGCGGGCTCCGGGCACTGCTGCCCGCCGGCGGGGGGCTCGGCCCGGACAGACGGGCTGTCGGGGGGCACCGAACGCCTCGCCCGCTCCCCAGCTATCGCCCACCGCCGTCCCACCACTTTCGGCCGCTCCCGCTGAGCCGCAGCCGCCCCCGCTGGGCCGCCCCGGCTGTGGGCGAGCCGGCCTGGCCGAAACTCGGTCCCGCAGGGCCGGCCGGGGACGAGGCCCGGCCGCTCGTCCCTCTCCCTCATGCCGCCGAGGGGCCGGTCGGGACCCCCCCGGGGCCGGCCGGTGTCAGGCAGCGCCGGTCCGCCCCCAGCTTACCTGATGCTCCTTCAGCACCTGGCTGAGGCAGGGGTACCGCTCCGAGATCCACCGGTAGAACTTGGGGACCCCCATGGCCACAGCTGCCCGCCGCCCTCACAGCCCCACCGGAACCAAACACCGCGGGCCGCGCTCCGCCCTCCTTCCGGCGCGCCGCGCTGACAGCGGCCGAGCGCCCGCACCACCGACAGCGAGCGGGCACAGAGCGGCGCCGGAGCGGGGCGGGCCCGGCCGGGCCGGGGCGGGGCGGGAGTGGGGCGGGCCCGGGCCGGCTCCCACCCCTCGGCCGCCTCACCGCCGCCCCCGGCACGCAGGGCCTGGAGCGCGGCGAACACGCGGGACCCCCGTGCCCCTGCCCTGCCCCAGCCCGGGCCCCGTCCCCCCGCCCCGGGCAGCAGATCTGCTCCCCGCGCGGTGGCAACGCCCGCTGCCAACAGCTCCCGGGCGGCTCAGTGCGCTCCCATAAACTGATAAAGCCTGGGAAAAACAACAGAACGTCAGCACTCAAACACAACACCGGAAAAGAGCACTGTATGTTCCAAATATTTTACTAGGAAAACTCGTCACGTTTATGGGACAGTGACAACACTTCTAGATTACCCGCTAGATAGACAGAGAAACAAACGCCCTAGAAGCAGTTGCAGACCTATTATTTTACTTTCCCAAACCTCTGGATTTCAGCTGAACAGAAGAAACAGTCGAGTGTCACACCACCGTGTGAGCCTGTGTTCAAAATCTAACAGCATTCTTTGTCTCTCAGAATAAAAGAAAGAAAACCACTGTACAAAAATTCTAATGATATCCTACTGTAGGTTTAAAGGGTATAATTTTTCCTTATTTCCCCCTGCCCCTCATTTCCCTACAATTTGGATGCCTAGAAAGCAAGCACTTATGTAAGACAGCATTTGCCTTTCAACCATATTTTAGTCTACCCTCTGTGCTAAAACACCTTTTCTGAAATGGAGTCTGACAAACACCCCCTAGAGCCGTGCTTTTTCCAGGGGACGAACAGGGGCTGTGCAAGGCTCTCAGGAGCCTACAGGGATGTTACAGTCACAGCTCCAACCACCTGCCTGGACTCACAGCCACACTGCCAGGGCCCTCCAGCTCCCAGCTTTGTGCCGTGTCCTTCAGGAGGCATTTTTAGCATTCGAGGGCTAAGGAAACAGGTTCAGAACATGGAACCACTTTACCAGTTTATTCATGCTAAGATTTAAGATCCCAAAAGCTTTCCTAGAGATAACCAGGCAACATGGAAGAAAGTTGAAGAAAAGTCTACTGCTGGAAAGAAATACTAAAAATTTTTAGATATCCCTTCTGAATATGTGTACAAAAGTTGAAATAACAACTTTACATCCTATCAGTATTAAACTTCATTGTTTTATTTTCTAATCTAATCCAAATGAGAAACATGTTAACAAAATATACAGTACTTTATAGTGCATCTGTCAACATCATGAAAATCTTTCATATAGTCAGAGACTTGCAGAGCCTTGCATAGTCTAATTTTTAAGCAGTTCTTATGTACTGCCTTCTATGTTTGTACAAAAGGTAAGTCCTAGCACCTTACACATCTGCATTCATAGCATCCTTGCAAGGGCACTGTACATTTTACACAGAATTTGGAAGACCATAAACCTGTTCTTCTGCTTGCAGCCAAAAATCAACAGAAGTAACCAGGTACCACTGATTGATTCCTTCCCAACAATATTATAGCTACAGCACTTGTGGGTGGTACGATTCCAAAGGGAACAAATATCACATATATGGAGCCCAGCCCATGTACATCTGGCAGAGCAGGTTGTCATCACTTGCTTCTTGAATGAGGTAGTGAACATGCCCTTCAATAGATAAAGGTAATCCTTTGATTCTGTTTCTAGTCTTAATGACACCTTGCAGCCGTTGCTCTATATCAAGGACATGGGTTTTGGCCTGGAAGGAAGAAAAAAAAATAATTGGTACTATTAATGAACTTCCACTTCTCAAAATAAAACCAGTATTTCTGAGGATGTGTTTAAAATCATATTATAATTTAATACAAAATCCAGATGCCTATACCAGCTACATTGAAAACAAAGGCTACTCACTTTTAAGAACAATTCTCTAGAATGGATATATTATTGGTCAAGCTATAACTTTTGCCTTACATTTTTACAGTTTAAAGTTACCAAAGGAGACTGAAAGAGCTATATAAATATATTTGGGAATTGTTAGAAAGCTTTATTGCATATAAATAATTTCAAATAAATGCAACATTTTATTAGCCTTGTTCCTGGAATGCTGGATAAAATTTAAGTCTGGAAAATTTAAGTCAAAATTTGAGCATCTCAAAATGAGCTGTTCCAAGGCCCACTGGAGTTGCTAGTTCATACCAATTCCACTCACACATTTTCTTTTAAAGCTCAAGCATAACATTGGCACTCCTCCAGAAAAAGCAGTTAATATATACAATTATGTGGGTGGTCTTGTAAAAGAAAATTCTTGTAAAAGAATGCAGACACGGCCTGGTTAGTAACTGTTTGAAGACCAGGAGATTTTCTGTGCTGAAATAGACCATGTAAGTTTTTTGTTGTCATACAGTTTCAGTGATGCACTTTTTCCTTATCTTAGCTGTTGTGTTTGTCAGTGTTCCCTAAGTATTGTCTGCTATTACACATTTATTTTCATTAAATAGTCCTTAAAAAAAAAAATAGAAAGGGACAAATCAGAAATTTTGCACAGAGGGAAGATAATAAAAATTAAGCTATACTTTGGATGAATAATACAGTCTCCAGCAGCAGCTAATAAAGGAACAGTAAGAAATCCTAATTTTCATCACATAATTATTTATATGTACCAAGGCACATATTTATTCAATAATAAACATCCACTCAGGAAAAGCATAAAAATACACATGGAAAGGACTCCAGATATTGCCATCACTGTAAATCTGGAGGACTCTGCAAGTGAGGAGATGCAACAAGATCCATTGCTTCTGCTGATATTGTCCTTGATTTACTAACACCAACAAGAGAATTAGAGTCTTTTTTGTTTTGTTCTTTAGTAGATAAATTGCATTTTTTATCAGTTTAAAAGAATCCGTTTATAGATAAAAATTATGAACAGAGAGATAATAAAGAACAACCAGAGAAATTTTTAAATGGAAGAAAAAAAAAAAGAAGTTTCAATTAGGAAATATGTAATTCATAATAATAATGGACATTTGACATTTGAATACTTGAGGTTGTGTTTGTTTTAAACTCACCTTTTCATTGACAACTTCTCCAGTTTCATTCACCTGGGCCTTTGTATTCCCTTTAACAGGCTTACTCCATTCCACAAGAGGATCATGGAGAAAAGTCTTTAAGACACTAAATTAAAAAAAATATTAGAAAAGGATATGATACATAAAATACATTTAATTTTCAAAACACAAACACTACCAGGAGCCTGTAGTTAGCGCTGGATATTTCTACTGCTTTATATTTAGCTGCATGCCATGGTGAGAGTGACAGGCACATGCAGGACAGGCACATGCTTGAACTGGCACATCCCCAGTTGCACACCCTTAGACTACAGACAGCTTTGAGGAGTTTGCACAAAAGCAGTGGCCTTACCTCATCAGAGGCTCCCTCTGGTCTCGCATCAGCCTCAGGGTGACTTCACAGGCCCTTCGGAAGAGACCCTCGGTTCCCATGGGGCCCATGCCGTTAACCATGTTGTGCGTGAGGCGGAAAGGAACGATTTCTGGAACTTCAAAAGTTTCTCCCTTTACATTGAGAAAAAAAGGGATGTCCTAAGTGTTTTAAGCATTATTAAAGAGTAACATTTGCACTGGCTTTAGGTTTTTTCCTCCATCTTTGTCAGTGGCAGCTCCTGAGCTGGCAAGAGATGTTTGCTCAGCTCAGAGTCCTACTCAGATAAGGGGAAATTACAATGAGTAAAAGATAACCTCTTTTGTCCAAATAACCTCTTTTTCCCTGTTTGAACACACTAATATAAGGTCTAAACTTTTGTTCTTAAATATATATTTATGCTCTGTAGTCTCATGCAAAATGCTAACATTTCTTTTACAATATGCAAGTTAGCTTAAAAACATTTAAAAAAATTGTTATATAGGACAATTTAGACTTACTAAAAAGAAACCAGAAGAAATAATCTAACAATATTTCTACCTCACGTATCAGAATTAAAAAAGCCTTATGTCCCACCCCAAAAACATCTTTCAAATCTCCAAATCCCAATCTGGCCACAATTTCTGCTCTTTATTTTACAGAACTGTTGGAATTTTTGTGCTGAATTTGTGTGAGAGAGAACAAGAAATTCTCCACAGCAGCAGAATTCTGAATGTAGCAATTACAGTTTTGTTTGAAGGGTGACAGTGGAGAGAGGAGAGTCACAAAATATGAACAGTCTAAAATTTGGGCTGTTCCAGTGTATCCACATCAGGTCATGGGATACTGGCTAAATCAAAAAGGTGGTTTTCATTGAATGCAGCACATAGAACTATCACAGCCTCTTTACATATCCCAGGCTTTTTTGGGATATAAATACAAGACAAAGTGAGACAAAGAACACAATAGATATGTTAAAGTAAAAACTTGGAAAAAACCTCGAGACAGCAGAAATTTATAACTCACATGCATATAATATCCAGAGCACACTGAGCAAGTGGCATTTCTCACCTTATTGAAAAGGCAGTTGAAATCCACGTGCACACACTCCCCAGTGAAGGAGTCAAACAAGATGTTCTCGCCGTGACGGTCGCCCAGCCCCAGGATGTAGCCCACCATGGACATGACGGCAACGGAGCGGCAGTAGGCTGACCTGCTGTTGTACCTGGAGACACAGCAGCAGCTCTGAGGCACTGCTCACCTCTGCTGGCCGCATCCTGCACTGCCATTAACTCCTAGGGAAATACACAAACTAAATGTTCTTGAGCTCACCCAGCCCAGTCACTCACCATGAAGTAGGGTCAGGAAATGTTCTAAGAAACCATTCGTGAAAGAGAGGAGGGTGACGAGGCAGAAGGACCTCTTTGAACATTTTCAGCTTTTCAGCCAAAGGTGCTGACTTTGGAAGCATGTGCTGCCGCAGTTCTTTCCCAGTCATATAGATACCTGCAACAGACTTCCTCAGTTAGGGAGAAGAAATCCCCAAATACAAAACCTTACATGTACTATTACAGTATGGTAATTTAAAGAAAATAAATGTCTCCATAAAGTTGAAATAAATGATCAAATGAAAAATAATCTATAAACCATGTTGGTTGTGGGGTACAGGGAAGTTTTTCCTCAAACTTCTATTGCACTGATCAGAAAGCTGCTTTGTTAACAAGAAATTCAAAAGAAATCTGATATTTTCTCTGTAAAGCTGCTGTATTCCTAACCTTGATTCAATTGTATATTATCTTAATTATCTCACATAAATGTAACAAAAATGAAAAATAGCAAATCAAATCTAGAGAAAAAATTCACAGTATTTTTTATTATTCAGTGCTGCACATCCCCATGCTGCTGAAACAATTTACATCACTGTATGTAGGAAAGTATCAAGATGCCTGTGGTATCAGTACTTGTAAGGAACTTGTTCATTCCAAGCTCCAACTCCCTTCCATTTAAGAGCAAAAGTCTACCACACATATGAATAATAATACATTGCTGATAGATAAAAATACATGTGACTACCTCTTCCTAGAATTTAGCCTGACTCCTGCAATTTGCTTCATTTCCTTAAAAAGATACAAGCCCATTAAAAATATCTAAAAACTTTTACTATATTCTAATGTATTTCTTTACCTTTTTCCTTATAAAGTTTTATCAGGATATTTCTTAGACCAGAAGTGTTATTCACCCACTCAATTATGCCACATTCATCATTTAATGGAATCACTGCGTAGGTGCGGATGTGGAGCTCTCGCCTACGGGACTCTGCATCTTTTCTTAAGCACTATTCACAAAAGGAAAATGAGATTAACACTCAACACAGATAGGATCAAAATGAATCTATAGCATTTACATTCTATCTATAACTACTTTCTAATCACACAATCTAGAATTTACAAATCTAAGCTTCACAATCTGCAGTAGGTCAAATGAAAGCAAAATGTGCATCTGTTTGCCAAAGTAAATTTAAAAAAGAGGATTTTTCAATAAAATAGTCAAATTGTTTAACCTGTACATGGCTTAAATCCCTTAAAAGCAATATTTGAAATAAATCTTTTAGTGTTTCAGAGATGCTGTCATTTGCTTTAACCTCACAGAAGACATGGTACCTTAACCTTAAGAATATTGCTGAAAAGCAAAACAGAACTAAAATAAGAGGTATGGCAACACTTCAGTATGAAAAAATTAATTTACCTGTGTTTTATAAAATATATTAGAAATTACTAAATAAGAAATATTAAGCTTGACAGCAGAAAGTCTGCAGATACTTATTTATTGTAAATAACCTGTCCTGTATATTGTAATTTGTTATTGTTTTCACAAGCCTGTTAGAAGTCATACAGTATCAATTGCTACTGTTTTTTTGCTAAAGCTAAATTGGATTTTTTGTTAGCTCAGTGTTCTGTTCTGGTCAGTAATGCACCTGATTGTCTCATTCATCAAACCTTATTAATAAGGGAGTTGAATTCCATGAGCCGACAGTCTTTTCTCAGATCATCTTTTGGCTTGCACATCATAATGTAAGATTTCCCATCTGAACCTTTCAAGGTGATCTTTTTTGGCTTTTGAAGTGAGGCAAGAATTTCCACCTAAAGAAAAATGAACTTCTTTAGTAACATCTGTATCAGATTATCCAAAATAAAGTGTGTAATTGTAATAAACCACTGCAACCAACTGTGTTAGCACTTCCAGGGTGCTGCAGCACATGAACCTCAGACCAAATCTTTATCTGATGCCAAGGGGCCACACCTCCCCTCAGGCTGCTGTGACAGAAACCACTCACCTTCCACAGAAGTAATTATGGAATTTCCTACTTCCTCCTCCCATTTCTAGAGAACAGAGATGTATTTGCAGCTATGTTTGCTGAACATGAAGTGAAAAAGCAGGTGACAAGTAGAGCCTTACCGCATCATCAAAGCCTGCAATGTAGGCCCAGCAGCCAGGGAAAGGGTCATGGTTAGCATGGGTACCAGGGATTGAGGGAAGAGTTGGTATCATTACAGATTGTAAGGGAATGAGAATTTCACTGAAGGTGTGCTCTTCTACTAATCTTTTCAGTGTTTTGAAATGAATACTCATGCTTAATGTTGAGTTGTTTCCATCAACCTTGGAAAAAAAAGATGACCAAAGTTAGAAATAACCTTTAAAGTTAACAAACACTTAAAATAATACTGCCCTTTCATATTAACTAATAAATGGACTAGATTAATAAATGCTGATTGTAATAAGAACAGCAAGCTACATTTCAAATTAAATAATCAAGAAGTAAATATATCTGGCTGATATGACAGACTTATTTTTCACTTTGAATATCAATACAGAATAATGAAAGAATTCATTTAGTTCTACCTTTATTATCAAGTTGATTTGTTCATAAAAGTACAACCACCCTATTTTTAAAGTAAAACTCTGGAAACTAATGGGCATGAATGATATGTGAAAGTACAAAACAATGTGAAGTCCATGCACTGTTAAACAAGCCATTATGTACTGAAAGATTTTATAGTGTGCTCAATTTAGAGCTATTTTAAATGTTTTACAATTTTGTGCGTTTTCTGCTAAACATTATGAATTAATAATTATTATTGGTCTATTATTATTCATGTAATAAATTATGATATTATTATGAATTGGCTAATGAAAGCAACCAGAAGCAGCTTTTGCATGACATTCTTGACTAATCCTACAACATGCACTCATTTGTTTATTTCTGTCGGTACCGGTTTGTTGCAGAGTTCCAGCAGCTTGTCCGTAAGGCGTGTGGCATCTCCAACAAATTTTGCTAAAGATTCCTTCATGTGAATAGCTCTGTTTAGAATTTCCTTACATCTATTGACTCGCATAGGGTAAGAGGACTGAAAAAAAAAGGAAAGTTAAAATTTATTAAACAAAGAGTTGAAGAATCCCCCCCAGTAATTAATATTCTTTCCTTATTGCTTATCGTATTTAATGTCTGGAAAAGGATTGAAATTGAAAAGTTTCAACTGAAAAGCTGGAGTGGTACTGTTGTGTGTGTGGGGGTTACTTCTGAAACCATTCTTGGGAGTCCCCCAACATAAAGGCCAATATTCAAGAATATGTCAGTGTATGCTGAAGGTTATTTCACCATCCTCAAGAAACAGCATGCAGCCCACTTCCCAGTCTGCTTTGGAATGACCTTACTGCTAGGTAATTACTTGTACAGCTATCTACTAAGTTGATTCTTTGATTATAGGACTGAAAGTATTATAACACAATTTGTAAATGCAACAAAATCTGTTGCCCATAACTACACAATTCATCAGCTATTTGTTATTCAAATTTCCTTTCCTAATACACCATACAAGAAGTTTGGATGCATATCAGCATTCCAATTTGGAACATTTAAACTGTAATATCTGAATTAAGACTGCAATAAAATAATTTGCAGTGATGGCACTGATATCCTCTTCTACAACACTGTATCACAACAAATGAGCCTCTCAAATCCTTCTTATCAGCTTAGAGTAAAATGGGTTATATTTACATTTCTGAGAAAAACAGTTTTGTAAACTCAATAAAGGTGTAGCTATACATATCAAGGTACCTTGGACACAGCAGTCATCATCCACATTGCTTGCTGTGGATAGGCTAAAAACACCTTAGCAACAATCACCATCAGAACTGCAAAGACTTCATCGTGAGAATGGCAGATTCGGGAGATGAGCTGAGAAAAGGCTGTCAGGAACTGGTAAGGTGCCAGGTGATTTGTGTGCTCTGTAATCACCTTGTTTATTTTAGCCAGATCATTTTTCATTTGAACACGTTCTGAACGACCTGCTGAAAAATGAAAAGACCATATTCCTGGTTTTCCCCACTGGAAATGCAAAGTCATTTAAATCAAGGCTATAGAATAATATTTTGTTAGCAATTTCATAAGCCAAAAAAATTGAAGGCAACTAAAAATTGAAGGCAACTAAAAAGCTCCACCCGTAAAATTCTTTTTAACTCAGCATACAGGACTGAATACATACGTTATTTAGCTAAGCAGAATACCAGGAAATTAAGTCTCCTTACACTCCTAAAATGACTTCTGTAAAATGATACAGTGGCATAGAACAGGCTAAAAACCACTCCATGTATTTGCCTGAGAAAAGGATTCCAATGTTCTTTAGTTGACAGGAAATGAAGAAAGTCTTTCCATGGGATGAAATCAGCACATCTGCTCCTATCTCCACCCCTGTCCCTGAGGACCCAGCTTGAGTTTCCCACCAGCACCTCAGAGTGCAGGATCTGATGTGCCTGCAGCCAACAGTTGACCTAAGTGTGTAGAATGAGGACGAGATCAAGGAGCACAACTGTCTGCTTCACTCCACACCTGCAAGCAGTATTTGCAATTTTCATTTGTACCAGAATCTCCCACCCAAAGTGCATCTGTGGTGTTAGTTTCTCATGCCTTCATGATGCTGCCTAAAAGATTTTTCCCCTTTTGTTTCAGTAAAATGAGGTGGAAAATTTCAGTAAAATTTCTTCAAAGACTGGAACCAAAACAAATTGAAAAAAAAAAAAAACCCAAGGCCTAACACTTTACTGTAGCAAGTACATACAAAACTGTTACTAACCACTCCTGAGGCACCCTAAAAGTGGTGACCAGGGACATGCAAGGATTTTCCCTGTATCTAATGCCTTCAGTTACCCAAGGAACTATGTTGTTTCACTATATACTTGAAAAAATTCTGGAAGATTTAATTAAAATAATTAATATTCTCCTGCATATTAACATCCTGTATTTTACAAGAATAGTAGTACTTTCTTGTTTCCATATAACCTCAGGCAATAAATATAAATGAAGAATTGTAAGTATACTTCACTGTTCTTTAAATCATCTATTCAAAAGAATGACATGGGAACTATGTACTGGGAAAAAATATTCTACCTTTATCACATTCATATGCTTTTGCTCCAAAGTCCAGCCATAAAGACAGCATTCTTGGCATTGACTGATAAATGAATTGGTTTCCATACTGTAGAGACCTGTGATTAAATGTTTAAATCAAAGAATGATATATATTAGAAGTAATACAAATTTTACATTCTCATTTGTTTAATATTCCATTCTAACTTTAGAAATTTATGTCAGCATTTTAATGCATCTGCAACAACCAAAAAATATACAAAAGGTTTGTGTTTATTACTCAAAGCCACAGATTAAATAATTAACTGTCTGACAAAAGACACAATTGGTTAGTCAGAAGTAAAATTAATTAGGTATGAAAACAAAAAGGAAGCATGTAGTACTTTGTTTTATAAGAGTGCAGAAAAATTGGAGTCAGTCTGAATTGGTGAAAGACAATCTATTCCTACAGAAATGTTTTTTTCCCCAGGATAATTGTCATCCTTTTACAGAAAGTAAGCAAAGTTCCCCTCTAACCTCCCAAAGTGATGAACTATGTATCTAATCAGATCTCCTTGTTTTTCCATCTTGTTGTCAGTTACCATCGGCATTAATTTATCATAGTATTTTGCAAGATAAAAATGTCCATCTTCCCATTCTGGTAAGAAAACTGTAACATCCTGCAACATCAAAATGAGACAATTAGTTCTGAGAGGATGCTAACTTAAAAATAATAAATAGAAATAAATCTTTTCAAGAAACAATCTTGTATTAGTTATGTTGTGCAGAGTACGTGCAAAATAGTTATTAATTGTTAACCCTGTAACTCCAAAAATGCTAATTTTGCCTCAAGATAATTGCCTCTACAAACCAGAAACCCATTTTCAAAATACATTTTGGTTTTGGAGACACAATTCAAGATAAGGGAATCCTGAACTAGGGAAGATCATACTTTCTTTAAAATCAGGTTCCTGATCCTAAGAACTCAGTACTGGGTTTCTCAGACCTTTCTGAAAAGTGAAACAGTATCATGTTAACAGTTGGACTCTGTCATCTTCCTGACCTTAATGAATCTATGATTCCATATTTTTCACATTTCTCTTTTCCTTCTAAATCATGATGTTTGAAAGAAAAACAAAAAATTGTGTGACATGTATTAGAAAAGAAATAATTGGTGAGAGGGACATTCCTTATCTAATAATACTGGCTTCTTTTCTGTGCCAATACTTAGCAGAGAGTACTGAGTGGTAGTGTTTTCATGGAATCCACTGAAATTTCATTTGTTTATATTATTTCAACCTTCATTTGATTTGATACATTTACATTTTTCTCCAAATGACTTTTGCAGAACTATGTTATCTAGTAAGACAGTAAATATTAGCAGTATCAAATGCCAGAACTTGGACAGGAGACATGCTGCTTTTAAGGAAGCATAAACATCTGCATCTCCTACTATTTTAGAAGGCAACATTAACCAATGCCAAAAAGTGTTCCACAGGCATCACAAGATGAAGCATGCAGTGCTGCCTTGTTTAAGAAGATCATACCAGTTGTCCCTTTTCCTAGTTCTTCAGGGACTGGAAGCACATTTACATCACACTTACAAGTCACTACCAGAGAGAGAAAAAACACTGAAGAGTAGTGCAATGGATCACCAAGTCAACTCTGAGTATTTGGAGTAGTCCATTTTAGTGAGGAATTCTAATCTGTGCAAGCATGAGAAAAAAGCCATACTTCTGTAACTTGTTTATTTTAAAAGAATAATATGAACTGTAGTCTCTCCTGTACTGATGTGTTACATTAAACTTGGTTAAGACAGGTAAATCTTTACAAGAAGAACTGCTTCCCTCCTACCATGGATGCACTGTTTAATCCCATTTATGTTATACTTGGTTGACACTATGCGGAGCAGAACAACAGCTTACTTAAGGAATACATTATTATTCAGAGCTCCAGCCTTGTTAACAGTAGTATTCCAAATTACCTTATACTTTTTCATGACTGCATTGCTTTCAAAGTTAGCAGTTTCTTCCATAAATCTGCCCACCAGCAGCATTGCCCGACCATGGATGAGCTGATTTTTGCTACTGCAGGGTGCTTTATTTTCAGGGAAGCATAACTCAACTCCCTTCTGGAGAACAATTAGTGCTTCATGAACTTCACCCTAAGGGAAAAAACAGAAAACATTTTATATCCTTTAAATAAGAGAGATGCAAAACTTCCCTCTTAGAGTTGTTATTAAGGCAAAGTTGTGTCCCCAGATGTGTTCTAGGCCATTCTGGCTGTGGTAACTGAATATTATTAACTTCAAATGCTTCTTGTATTTCCTTGTTATCTCAGCATTGTTGTGCCTTTAGGTGTACCACAGCAATTTCTCTCATGTTTGCTGCCTACTGCTATTAGTTAAAAAGAAACAAATTAAGAAGAGGTCTACTATTAAAATAATGTCAATTTGCCTGGGCTGCATTGGCAGAGACAGGTAATCCACCAGTTTTATACCAGGGTGCCAGGAAGGTCAATGGATACAGAACAGGGCTGACCAGCACCTGGAGGATCAGCTGCAATGTGCTGATAGTCCCAGCTGACATATCTTGTTTTACACATGCTGATTGTGTGCCTTTTTTTCTTGAAGAAAATTACAAGTCTTATTTTCTTGCATGTAGAAAACTGAATTCCATTTTTATTTTTCTTACCTTGGACCAGAGCCACTTTGCTCTTTCTACATAAAGTTCTGAGAGTGTTGATTCCCCAGCATTGAGCAGAGCATTATAGGCAGTCTGGTGATGCCCAGCTTTCCTTGCAACTCTGGCACTCTGGAGCCAACACTGTCCAACAAGCTCACTGTAATCCTGGCTGCAGGGACATTTTTGCAAAAAATAAAACATTTCTATTTTGAATGCTACTTTAAAATCTGAAGTAAAAATCAACGTGTTGAAACACAAGTTGAACTTCTCAAGAAGTTGTATACTACATAATGATAATTTAAAACTATTTTAATACATTTGTTTCACCCTTTTTTCCATTTAGGACTAGAAATAAGTACACTTTCTCCCTGTTTCTTGCTTCTTTCCTTTAGACACTGCTTCTCCTCCTTATTTTGAAGGTACATAATATTGGAGGACTGCTTTTGTTTAGAACAAATTCCCAGAGTTTTATCTTCTCTCTTCTAACATATATATGGAAACCCACAGTGTCACTGAGAATACAACACAGACAAGAAATAGTCATGTCCTCACCTTTTACTGAGACTAAGCAAAGCCCTTCTCAGTGCTAAAATGGGTTCTTTTGCTCTGTAGGAGTTTTGGGTCATTTCGATCCGAGCACACCAGTTCAGGGAATCTCTACTGTGGTCACCATCTGCTTGCTGAAACATTGGCCCAATGCTGTGTTCCAACTCACACAGCATATGCAACCTGTGTTAGCGAAATAAAGGCAAGAAATTGGTGAGAACTGATTGCTTGCTGTTTGAGATACATGCAAATCTTACAGAGTTTTTGCAATTTTCTTTCTAAAATTTGGCCCTGTCAATAACATCACCCAGTACAAAAATGTAGCAAAAGCAAGCACACAAAATCCAGGATTTATAAACTGATTCGTTTTTTCCTCAATATTCCTTTGTCAAGCTGCTGAACAGAGAGACAATGTAGATCACCCAGAAGGGAAGTCAATCTTTAGAAAGAATATTTCTATCTATTACTTTCAGCAACAATGCTTCAGAAAATCTGACATTTCCAACAAATCCCGTTTTAAAAGCAATATACTTTTACTTAAAGTGAAGTTATTCCATTTATTTAAAAATACCATTACTGTGGATATCTGTCCCTGTAAAGATGGAAAGCTGAGTGGTTGTAAATGCCACAGTTCTCACTGGCAGAGAGAAGCGGCCACAAATGTAGTGGGTACATCTGACAGAAAAAGTGATCCTTGAAAGGCTCCCAAGTAGCCTGGATCAGTGGCTAAAGGAAACTACTTTGAAACACTTCTTTCTCAATCCCCAAACTTCATTTCCCAAACAACACTGCAGAAATTACCAACAGCAAATAGAATTAAGAAGTAACTAAAACATGCACTTCAACAGGCTTCAGCCAGTATCTTGCCATAAGGATGCATTTACAGTGCAGAGGAAGTATTGAGTGTTTTTATTCAAAAAGGCTACTCACTTTTTAGTCTACTGCAGCCAAATTAAAAGTTTAATAATAAAGAAAAGGGATGGGGTATGATTCCTACTGCTCTTTCTTGATAAAAAAGAGTACTTTTCAGCCTCCATACAGATCAAAAGCAATGCTCTTAAGTTAATGGAGTTCCTGGCCTATTTGTACTACTCCAAGCATGGAATTAAATTGCTGGTTTTTATTACTTGATGTTTACATTTGCTTGCTAGCTGATTTGGAAAGACCATACCACATAGTTTTATTGGGAATGTTTTCCATGGAGGATAAATATAAATTCTAATTAATCAAAGGTTTTCAGTTGGTTGAATATAAAAAAAAGGTGACAAAAAATGTACCATTTACTGCAGAAATGCAAAATTCTTGCTGCTGCATACTTGATTACATGGTTTGTGAATTTAAAAATAGTACCATGAAAATGAGAAACCTGATAATGTGTTCATATCCTCGCTGATAGGAGCCTCTTTCAAAGCTTGCTGCTGAGAGGGGCACAATCTGCTCTGCTCGAACAACCTTGAGCGTCTCGTAAAAAGCTGCTTCATTTTTCTTCTTGGCTGATAACAACAAATGTCCCAGTCTGACACTCCAAGTAGTGGACTTCACATCTTTGGGGAGAAAAAGAAGACTCTGCTTCTTTAGGCAGCTTAACCTGAACATGCTAATTTGTCTTAACATGCTACTGAAAAAAAACTTTTTCTCAGAACTAAGTAATTGCATGTTATTTACACCGTATAATTCAACTCCAAAATCCACCCAGACAGACAGACTCAAAAGATTTACACATTCAAAACTTCTGCTCAAAAACTACACAGGTTACAATCAAATTCAGTTACGAAATCCAGAACACAGTCAGAACCAACCTTCCTACCAGTGAAATCCAAACCAAATTGAAACAGCTGCCCCTTGATTCAAGATGATTAAACTAAAACATATAATTGTTCAGAAATGCAATTAAGTATTAGTACTTTTATGTAATGATAACTTACCTGAAGCCAAATAATTTTCCAGTAAATCCCACTGTGATAGTTTCCAGGCTGCTTCCACTCTGTAAGTGTTCAACTCAGATATCCATTCAGACCTATTAAAAGAAAACAAAGGCAATACAATTTTGCGCTGTCTCCTCTCAGTATGTTAATCCTACATTACATTAGCAAGTGTTCTTTACATAAAACTTCTCTGACTTGAAAAGAGGCAAGATAAGCTTGCTTCTAAAGAAAGGCAGTAAAACCAAAGGACATGCACTGATAACAAATAAGATCTGTACAACATGATCCCACAAATACAACCTCCAAAGAGTGAATTTAACTTCTGTGGTACATCAAAAACTACCAGCTTTTAATCTGTCTGCCTATTAGACTACAGAACACCAATGGAATCAGTGACGTGGGAAACAATGCAAAAGTCCTATCTAAGAAATTAAAGCACATACCAACACTGCTCACAGTACAGGCAAGAACTGTGAACATTTCTGGACTTCCTGAAATCAATAATTTATAGATAAAGCACTCAAAGTTTTCTAGCTTCACACTGCTAATTCAATTATGTTTAATAAGCCTCAAATATTTGATAATGAGCAGAAATGGCTACTGAGGCAGAGATTTATACCAGAGCTTCATATTATTCAAATGAACTGTGTATTAGATGCTTACAGTACCTATTTGCAAGCACTCCATTGACCTGAGTTATTACAGCAGATAACTGACCAAGGCCTAACATGGACTTCACTGCACCATGATAGTGAATGATCTAGAAAGAGGAAAAAAAACCAAAACAACAAATGAAAACCCTACATACACATTAATTAAACTCATGGCAATCTGAAGGAAGAAATATGCTCATTTGGGTGCTTTTTAGAATATGAAAAGGCATAACTAATTGCACCATAAGATAAATGAACATTCAAAAAATCCAGGAAGAGATTTGTTTCAGTTCATAAGCCACTTCCAACAGCAATAGTTATTTAGCAACAGTAAACACTTAGATTCCTATTTCACTTAAATATTCTGAAGAAGTTTTTTTGCCTTAGTCATCTGTGAGCTAGTAAGATTAAAAATAATAATTATATTTATTACAAACGAAAAATAAGGTACCTGATCAGGTTCCAGTTGGATAGCCCTATCATAGCAGGCTGTTGCATCTCTTAACAAGCCAATACTTTCATGCTCAAGGATTTGTTCTTTGAGAGATGGCTCTGCCTTCCGAATGGCGCTCACCCCAGCCACTCCATCTGGCTCGTGCATGGCAGCGTACAATTTCTGTATGAAACAGAATTGGATGTGGCCATCAAAAACACTAAGGTATTTCACAGATAACCTGCAGAATCACAGAACTTCTTAAACATGGAGCACAGACTGCTCTGTAGGACTCATTGGCAATAATTTTTTATTGAAGATGTCAGTTTTGCCAGGCTCCTTCCAAAGTTGAGCCCTATTTCTTAGTATACAGTAATATTTATAATCTCATGCTATTGATAGACTACCACATGAACTTACCTGAAACCATCTGTATAAAGAGTAAAATAAATATCCTATTATTACATGATAGCATAAAGATGATTACTTTTGGTGAAAAAGCAGCACACTAAGTTATATTTGTCACTGACAAATATAAACCATAGGGAACCACAAACAGGATCATCCCACAGGTTAAAATACTTTTAAAAATAATTTCTATAATTTGCAATACCTTTAGCATTGGCTCTTTTTCTACTTTAGAATAAGCCACCTGGAATTTCTGCAATGTACTTGGTGCTATTTTTTGTTATTATAGTTAGCTGTATTTTCTGGCAAAAGGCACAGAGCCAACTTCAAAGCAATAAATGTTATCCTATCAACAAACCCACATTTAATTATTTTCAGGAATTTACAATCTTTTATTATAGAATAGAAAGCTATTCATTCCTTTTCACATAAGAAGCATGCCAAGCAAGAGAACTTACTAAATATTGCTGAAACACAGATGACGAAACACTTGTATTTAACAAGTGCTCAAATAACTCTTTTCTTTTTCCCATCACAAAGAAGAATTTACCCAACCTTTATTTATCATCCACATTTTCATCTTAAAATAAAAAACGTAAACCAAAAAGAACTTCAGAACCTGAAGAAATCCAAGATGTTCCTGAATATTTTGTTTCTTTTCTGTTATAAATGATTCAAAGTGCATCACAGCCCTGGTGTAAGCCTTGGAACGAAAGGAGGCCACAGCCAGTGTGTCCTGGGGAATGAGGTCTAGAAAACGTGTCACATTTTGATATTCTCCATAGTCCTCACTTGATGCTGTTGGAAAAATAAGTATTACAAAGTTTGTCAATAACAATTTAGTGAGATAACTGTACTAATTACAGAACATGGTTTTCTCTTCTGTCAACAATAATTCATTTAAAACAATTCTGGTGAACTTTCTACATCTTGCAAGACAGCACAGAATACTATATATATAATATTATATACATAATATAATATTCTTTTAAGTTAAACAGAATGCTTAGAAAACTAACAAAAAATTAACATTTCGTTGTTCAAATTTTAAATCTGTATTTCTTGCAACAGTCATTCAGAACAATCCATTTGGGGTAGAAGGGGTGGAAATCACAATATAACATTAAGAAATCATAAAAGAGATTACATATTGTATTAATACAGCATTTATAAATAAATGGTCACAATGTGAAGCTGCAAACATAAATAAAATACTTCTTTGAATAATGGTAATGCCATTTAAAATGAAATAAGCATCTCTCACTTTTTAGATCACTTCTGTCTTTGCTAGACTTGCCAGCATTTTTCTCAGCAATGAGTGTTTGAAACTTATGTCTGGCCCACTGGGTGAGATGATCCAGCATGGAGAACACTGTCTGTGTGCTCAGCTGGCTCAGGTCAGATGCGCTGTCCTCCAGCCTCCTGCTGGACTGGTCATCGTGTGTCAGAACAGCCATGATCTCCATGTAGACCTACACACAGGTGAAAGACACCAGTGAAATGGCAAAGACTTGGCAAACCAAGCAGAAGCTGTTGGCAAGGGATTCCATACAGGGAGAAAACCTTGAGGTTTCAAGATGCAACAAATGCTATTGCATCTCTTCTACAAATATAATACTTCAAGATTTGGTAAGAATAAAATTATCTACTGGTTACAAGATTACAGATCTACTTTTTTGCTTCTGTTTAAATAAATGCCCTGACAAAATATCTGTTTCTGTTTGTTTTAGTCCATAAAACATGAGTTAACATAAATAACAGATGCTCACAGAGGAAAAATCATCACACGCCTCTACACACCCACAATATTTAAACACAAATATTTTAGCTGTGAAATTTCAAATTAATGGAATGTAAATTAGACTTTTCACTATCTTCTAATTCCTTTGTTTCACCCAGGACATGCTTACAAAGATTCCTTGCAAACTTGCATCTCCCTGTACATACAGGTGCTGCTCCCAGTAAAAATGGCAGCACTTGGGCACATTCACTGACAGCTCAAGCAAACTGAAGGAAAGCAGGATGACTTCTCCCCCACCTCTGCTTTGCTGCAACACATCTATGAATCCTGCTCCCCATGAATCTGGCAGCTGAATAGTTTATCCACTGAAACTATAACTGTATCCAAAGGAGAGGAAAAAATTATGAGTGTGAATTATTGGAATTATACAAGTTCCATTTACTGGCTGTTTGTGTTGCACACTTCCTCTTTGTACCACTCCAGCTGTTGATGTTACTGCAGTCATGATTAACCACATAATATCTCATCCTAGGCCCAGCTGATGGAAATCTGCAGAAAAGCAGTTCCAACACAAACTTGTATGAGTATATTCAAAACCCTGTCAGAACCTTTATATTATTATTTCTATTATTAATACACAAAAAGGAGTTTAACACCTGAACAATTTATTCATGTAGGCCTACAGAGCTGAGCAGCTCTCATGAGAACAGCTGCTGACCATTCCTGTGAAAAACACTACCATCTTACACATCTCACCTCTTGTTGATCCTCTTGACTGCATCCCAACAAGACATAGACAAGGATGTGTGGAAGCAGATAAATTGTCACTTTATAGTCATTTTTCATCATAATACTGCAGCAATCAAAGACTTTTCTGGCAAGATCATGTCGCACCTATGAAAAAAGCATTACTTCCAGGAGAAGCATCATTACAGAAGTGCAAATACATGAACAATCAATAGATTTCTTTTGTTGATGAACACAAATTCTAGTCCATCAACTAATTTTAAGATACCTGTCCTCTACAGAAGGTTCATCAGACTTAAATCTGCAATAGAAATACCAAAAGATGGTAGCTACTATTACATGTAGCAACTGCTGCCAGCACAAAGACAGGTAAGCACTGCTTACATTTCTACTTATGATACGAGCAATGGGGAAGAAAGTGAGAGAATAGGAGTCTATTTTTAGGCTGGTAGGAATTTTGAAGGTTATGATGAATTTTCATTCCCAGAGGGAGGTGAGGCTTTCTGCTCCGGAATAGATGTAAATTGTCGCTGGGATTAGGCTGATTAGAAAGGAAGTTTTGACTGTGTTTCTGATTGTGCTGGGGGTATTTTTGAGATTATTGGATAGAAGGGGGAATAGGATGGGAGTTGCTAGGGTTAAGAGCATGAATGTATTTAGGACTAGTGACTAGACGTGCTGTCTACAGGAGCAGTATTGGCAATCCTGGCGGGCCTTACCCACGGATTCCCCCTATTTACTGGATACACACCCACTCAACATGAGCTAAAGCACATTTCAGGGTAATATTCATAGGTGTAAATCTGACCCTCTTCCCTCAGCACTTCCTAGGCCTGCCCAGCACGCCATGTGTTTTACACCACTGTGAACTTGCACTGGCTGTAGAAACAACCTTGAGGCTGGGAGTCTGCCACTACACTCAGCCTCTCTTCTGCCCTTAAAAGCCTGCAGAAAGTAGGATATTATGAAAACATTCAATTCTACTCTGTCTGAAAGAGGACAGTGCAGTTACTGAGCTATTGTAATTCAATTCACTTCTTACAGTGGCTGATTTGGAAGTGACATTTTCAGTGGGTCACTTAGATATTGGAAAGGGAAAAGAAAAAGAAGCTACAAGTACTTTTTATGTGCTAAGACTGTGGAGCTACAGGGAAATCTTTCCAAAACTGAGAAGGTAAATCCAGAAGCATTTCAGACACTTTTCACAAGCATTTGTCAGTGCCCTCAGTTTCACAAGAGTGTCTGGACAAAGACAAGTTTCCTTGATTTTTAGCTTTGACACCACCTGTGAAGCCTTGGCAGGAAGCAGTGCTGGGGAAGGGGGAGTGCAGTACCCTGCTGTAGAAGCAGCAAAGTCCTGTAAGAGGCCTGCAGCCAGCACCCATATTCTCCCATCCATCCCTGAACTGCAGAAACTGAAATGAGGTTCAAGAACTGTCTTGCAAAGAGCCTTACAGAAAGATTTATTTTCTTACCTTTGTTATAAGATAACCTGCCCAAGTTGCTGACCATTCTGCAAAATTATCACCTAATTTGCTTAAGTAAATTGGCTTCTTCACCTTAGACCAGTTTACAGCCTTCTGATAACTCTTGTACCTGTAATTTTGAAATAACCATTTAATAAAACTAACTTTTCATGTAATACAGTAAACAACAGTACATTGTTAGTTATGAAATTCCCTCACTGGAGCAATATGAATATGAATTCCTGTCTTCTGAATCTTTAAAGGTAGAATTAAAACCCCCACTTTCAGTAGTCAACATCTTTTATTCTAGAGCTCCTTAAAATTAAATATGAAATAAAAATTCTCATAACTTGATAGGTTGTTTGCAAGTATATTTTAAAGTGCTATTTGTAATCAGTTTTAAGAAATGAAGTTTGATAAATATCTGAGTACAATGTTCTTGACAGGAAAAGCCAAGAGCATACATGAAAGCTGAGAAAGGCCAAAAAGTCTGTTTTCTAAAAAGATAAAGCTTATCACAGGTAAGCATGACTGTCTTCATGAAGAAATAGAAGGGAAACATTGATTATTTCTAGTTAAGACAGGAACATAATTTGAAGTTTATTTTTATCATTACTTCAACAAAATGAATGTGAAGAAAAAGTCCAATTAAAACTCAGTGAGCTCCTCCTACTTCTGTAGAAGGCAGGACTAATAGGATGCTAGTAGATTTGAGTAGAGGGGAAAGAAAAACAAAAGCTTCAAAACATCATACAAGGCAATGCTCTAAGGACAAACAGGCAAACATGGGCAAAGAATGAGCTCCAAGTTTTGCTTGTTTGATTTAGAGAGAATTACATTCAAGTAAGTAATAATTCACCTTTTAGTAGAAAGACCTTATTTCAATTTTGTGTTTATACATATCACTCTTCCCAGAAGAGTGAGAGTCACAAAACCATATGCTAGCCCAGAGAAAAAACCCAACAGATGTGTTATGAAATGCTATTCCTTAAACTGTCATATACCTTGTGTTTAAGTGAGGTTCCAAGATCTCCTGCACATGCTCAGGAAACCTCCTCCAAAGCCTGGAGCCAGGGCAGTCGGTGTTTGTCTCTCTACAGTCATAGATGGACAGTAACTCCTGAAAAGGGATGGTTTGCATCACCAAGGTAGCACTGAGGATTTTCATGACCACAGTACAAAGCCCTGTGCATATGAGTAAAACCCCATGTATATGACCAAAACCCTGTGTATACGTTATGATCTTTCCAACCTGAATGAGTCGATGCTAAGTAATGAGAGAGAAGTTATGGAATGCTTAATTGAGAAATCATAACTGCAAAACTGTTATCCAACACTGTTAATCCTCTGTTACTAGGCAAGTTTTGATTTCAGCTACGGATTCCTTAGATTCTCCAGCTGGTGTTTGGACCACATTAACTTGTATTCTTCACATCTGCCAATAAACCAGGACTAGAATTTTGTCTGATTCCTCCTTGTGCAGGAAGTGCACAATCTTCTGCATGTGCTAATAAAATTCTTATCCTGCTGACTACATAGGGCCACCTATTTTCTCCTGGACTGAAGAACTATCTTGAAGTTTTCACAAAGATATTAAACATCAAAAACAGCAAGAACAAAAAAGCAAAAACCTCCATCCACTAAATAAAACCAGCACAAAAGACCAAAGCCTAAAAATAAGGGTAGGCTCCCTTTCACTTGCTTCTTAAAAGTGTAAGCAGAAACCATCTTAGGAATACTGCTTTTCATTTCTGCCTGTGCAACCTGAACTAATTCTAAGCCACTCTCAGGATTACTCCTTAATCCCTGTGTATGCACCTCTAAAACATCAGATGTCTCCTAAAATATTGTGACACAAAAGCAAACAGATAGATCTTATTTGAGAATGACCCAGAATACTAAGTGTACTTTCTAATTTGAACCTGTTACAGGATGAAGTTTCAAATACTTAAAAAAGAAAAATTGTATTGCATAGTTCTAAATTCAATGTTACAGAACATAACCTGTGAAATAAAAGTAGGATCTAACCAGAGATCTTACCTGAATTGCATATGCTGCAGAATCCTGAGCACGAACATTGTCAGCATAAGCAAGGAAAGCTCTGGTCAGTTCCATTAACAATCCATAGGCAAAATTTGGATCTTCCACTCCAGCCTTAATGACAAAGAGAATGCCAGTTTTACTAAAACAAGTAATACCTGTATCTGTAAATAACCACTTGGAAGCATAACTCTAAACTGTTTTAGGTGTGACAGCAAGTCCAGATTTTCAAAGGGTCTAGAGATAAGAGGTTCCCTCCTCCTAAGGACTTTTTTAAGACCCCTAATGCCAAACAAAACCCTACTGCAATGCTTCTTACCACAAAAGTGAAGTGTTTTCCTTGAGTTTCACTTGTTGAAAAGTCAAGCCTGCCAGGATCTATGGCTCCCAGTTCACCCAGACATTCCCCACAGAGCAGTCGTGCCTGGGAATTTGCATCCTGGCAGCCGATGAGAAGCACTGTCACCAGCTGGGAGATGACTGGCTCCACGGTTTCACTGTCTGTCACGTACTTGATCAGCTTTTCCTGGGAAGATGAAAAGTAAAGATGAGTCATTCTACAACCATATTTGTAAATAATCTCGGAAATCTTCAACCTGTAACTCACTTCTGATTTCGTTTAGCCATGAGTTCAGGTTGTAACTGCAGTCCAAGTGCACTAATCTGCTTCTCACCCTAGGAAGGACTAAACAAACGTGTGAGGGATTGGGCCTCAGTTAATGCTGTCATGGCAAATATTGTATTTCATTATCATGCACCTCTCCACTAACTTCATTTTTTAAATTTGTCTTATCAAGTACCGTTTTTTCTTTTCTACATTATCTATATTTTTCACTTACTTATCTCTCTTCTCATGTGTTCCAATACTTCCTCCCAATTTCCCTCATGGAATTGTTGTGATACCTTCTGGGTTTCCTGCCATTTCTATTCTTATTATTTGCCATTTCTTGAACATTTCATCACTCTCAAGTCCTACAAAGCCCAGGGTTTCAAGTCCTTTGATCAATGTCCATCATTTTAATTGGGTCTCCTTTCTTTTTTTGCTTTGGCCCAGCTTTTATTCCTGAGTTTCACATTTAGTCCAAATACAGAAAAAAATCAAGATGTTTGTCGTTGTTATGCTTAATGAAAACTGAAACCAGAGCCAACATAACAGAGCAAATAGTTTCACAAGCTGTGGAACTAATTAAGTTTGATTTGCCTCAATTATTTTGCTAGACCTCTAACTCAGCAAGACACAGCAGGATTTTGCTGACCTGAGCTGCAAGAATTACTGGTTGGCCAGGAATACACACAATGATTGTTTGTTCTTTTAGCTGGACTTTTTTTAAAATTTCTGGCTAAAGAGCATCCCACAATCTTATAACTACTAAGGGTACAGATTTATTACTTTTTCTTATGGGTCACATACATCCTTTGGGCTAATAACCTCACAGAACTGTAAAGCAATGTCTTCAGCTTGTCCATGGCTATAAAATGCTTTTGAATATGATCAATGGATTCAAAATGTTGAAGGTGGAAGACAAAAAATGAAGAGAAAAGAAAAGAAGGTCTAAGGTGGTCCAAGTAAATCTTAATTCTTTCATATATTACACACACGCGCTTGCTTTTATGTACAAGGTTCCTGATGCAAAAGTCATACATGCCCTAAACAGACAATAAGCCCACATCATCAATTGCTGAAATGGACTTCTTAGATACATCTTTCCTCAGAGTTAAAAAAAAAAATGTACACTAGCCTTGCTAAATCAGCATCACAGATTTGAAGGATTTGAAAATCCACCTACACGGAGGTGTCATGAAAAAGAATCCATTTTCCCCATTATATGTAGAAACAGCTAAATGAACTGAGGAGAATAACCCAGTACAAGTGCACACCCTGTAACAACAAGGAGCTTTAGACTTTTGGTCCAGATGCTAATGTGGTTTATTTTTAGTTCTACTGAAGGAGGTTTTCTATACCTGGTTTCTATACAATGTTTCTTTCAGGCTGGTAAGTGCATGAATCCGAACATCCACGTTCTCGTGCTGAATGGCTCTCATAGACAGCTGCAGGGCTGTCTGCAAGTCTGTGCTTTTGGAGGATTCCTGAGCAGGACATAAGAAGTTCAAGTTCAGTATAACAGGAATATGACTGAAAGTATAACAGGAATATGGCTGAACAGCATCTCAAAGAACACAGCAAGAATACATGGAAACAGCTGCCTTTTTGCTTACATTCTCACCTATATCTATATACCATTGTCTTCTCGCCTATTTTTAAAAATGTTTTACTCAAAAAGGTGCTATATTTTACTTTTGGGTAAATAGAATGATGGTGTAAATAAAAAATATAAAATCAGAAGAAAATGCTTTGCTTAAAGTCTGTCTAAAATTGAATTAATTTCTACTTTTGTTGCATCACTCCCACAAAATAATTGCTACTTCCCATCTATTACCTAATAATTCTGAGGACAAGCAAATGCAATGGACCATAGAGTACTCCTAAGAAGAGACAAACTTTGCTCCCTGTAAAGACAATAAGGCCATAGCTAAAACTGTTGACTTCTCATCCTAAAATCTGTCACAAAAGAGAAGAAAAGTCAGGGTTCAGGAGACGCTACAGAAACAGGAATGTTGAACATTTCATTCCTAAACCAGAATCAGAACATTCTTCAAACTATGCCTGTGATACATAAAACCAATTTTGTGTATCACAGGCAGATAAATATATTTCCACTTAACAATGCACTTTACATGTTTTCCTCAGTTGTCATGAATTCATTTTATGCAGTAAAGCCAAGCAAATGAATAAAAGAAGCTGTACCTTTCTGTATTCCTGAAGGACAACCTGAACTTCTTTTAGTTCAGGAAGGTCAGGTAGAAAATATATTTCATGTAGAAAGTCTCGTACTGCATCCCTAATAGTTAGCAAAAAATATTGCAAAGAATACAGCAAACATTAGTTGAATCCAAAAAAACCCATCCAAATAAAGCAATGAAGAAATCTCTTTCAATATTGCTACTCTGGCCTTTTACAAGGGCCTTATTATTCCTATTACTACCTTTTATTGTGAAAATGGTTGGTATGATACAATGCAAGAAAAATGAAAATCCATCAAAAGTAATCAAGGTATTAAGTAGCAACATTCCTAAAAAAACCCTTTTATGCTACAAAATGTAAGATGAAAAAGAATTATGACTCAACCTTATTTTCAAAAAGGTTAAGTCATGACAATTAATGTATTATGTATTAAACTTTGATTTTATTTTCAGTTGGTGTGACCATTTGAATGGAATGTATGAAACCTTACTCAACATAATAATCTGTGCACTTCATAATTATACCTCTAATTATTGAAGAAAACAAAGAACTCATTTCCTCCCCATTTCCAACTCTCTACACTTCTCTTTAGCTTAGAGCATATTGTTAGCAACCATCATTATTCTGTAGAGGGAAGTAATTTTCTATATCAGCACAATAAACACACTGAAGAAAGCCTGGCAGGGTTCAGTGTCTGAATGGGTTGTGACTTGGCCACAGCATCATATATATTTATAGGGACAATATAAAAACCCCTTTTCAGATAAGGCTTGTTACATTTCAAGACCCTCAACACGATTTAGAGAAGGGGCAATTTTATAGAACAACAACTATTTAGCAGAAAAACAAGTTTTCTCGTCTCAGTGCTGGATGACTTGAATTCAGGGTTATCCCCATTCCTGTTGCAGGATTTAAACCATATAACTGAAAATATCTTGTGCAGTACCTGTTCTCCACTATGAGGAAGTGGAATATTGCTGTGGTTTCCTTGGGCTGGATATGTATGAGGGGCAATAGCACCACTATCACCTGGCTGAGCAAGGAGCCAAGGTAGGAATGGTCCAGACTTCGAACAAAGCAATCCCAGGCTCTAAACAAGAAAAGGCAACAAAACAACATAATTGATGATTCTTCACTGCAGGAAACATTTCAGGTGAGTCATGAGAAGCACTTTAAGCTATTTCAGCACTGTGGTTTAGATTCCTGTCCAGAACAAAACAACACAGTGCATCAAAGGACAGAAATAGCAGGGATGTCACTGTCTGGGTACACCATCAGCTCACCTGCAGCACAGTTCTGGGAAGTCATCCTTGTATCTCAGAGCTGTTCTCAGCGTGGTCATCATCTTCACTCTGACAGAACTGATGTGTTTGGGACCCATGAGTGTCATTAAAGACCTCAGGCTGTTTAAAGCCTAGACAGATGAAAGTCATTTTAATGTATTAGATACTCAGGAAAATATGTAGGAGTTATATTTTTTATTAAAATCAGGCTACCCTTGCTTAAGAAATCATATTTTAAGACATCAAAATTAGTTTGATGTTTTAATAAAGAATTTCGGTTTAGCAAAAAAAGGGGGTGAATCTCTAATGACAATATTGTTACAAAACCCTACATTATCTAGGCTGTTGACAGACCATGAGGGAAGAACTGCAGACACCAAGGAGTTAATGATTCCAGATGTCTATTATAAGACATGATTAACTATATATAGATATATAGCTGAAAAGAGAAGGCTTAGGAAATATAGAGGAAATAAACAAACTTGCATTTAAAAGAAAAATCGAACCAAGAAAACCCCAACAGAGTTGACATACAACTGCTCACAGAAGTGACTGGCAAGCATCAGGGAACAGGTAATAGCTCAGCTGTCAATTGAAGACAGAAGAGAAATACTGAGATGCAGGAGATATTTCAGTCACAGTAACATTACACCAAACAAGGTAGTAAAATGTCCAGCATGGCAGATCAGTAACACAGGAATAAACCTGAGCTTGAGAAAAGGTCATGCAAGGGGAAACTCAGCAAGAACAAAAACAGAAGATAGAAACAATAGCAGGTGCAGCAAAAGAAGTGCTGTACAAATTAGGAAATTCAGAAAGCATGCAGAAAGGGGGCTAAGAAAATGAGAGCATTTTAACATGAATATCTGAAAATCAAAAAAAACACCAGAGAAAATACAGTCTGTCAACACAAAGGTTATGTACATTCTAGCATTGAAAACTTCCTGTAGAAATCATCTACAGTCCCTCTGTGAGGCAGCTGAAAGGCCAGCCTTGTGGTTGGAAGCACCGCTACAGTAGAATTTTCACTTTGTCTCAAGCTGTGAGCTCTAATTTCTCTAAATGCACTCTACTGCAAAGCTTAAAGGAGCTGTTCTGTGGGAACCAAAACTAATCTCTTGGATTTCCATCTTTTTTCTTTACCCTTTGGTGTCCTTATATAACCTCATGCAGTAATTCCAGTTTTCTCCCACATTCCCTCATCCTCCCACTGGTGTTTGTTTCACACACTAAAAATCATACCCTTGGATTTCTCCCCTGTAATTCCTGGTTGATTGACTCCTTGCATACACCATGTCTGACTGAAGTATGTATCTGTCATTATTATCTGATCGTTATCTACCTGACCATTAAAGAAATCAAGAACTTTTGAGCTTACACAGAAGTCCTACCCTCTGTGAGACCATTAAAGAATTATTTTGGGACCCTAGTATCTTTGAGACTCCCATGACAGTTGCATGATCACACAAGTAAATCTGGAATATTATAACAGTTGCTTATTTTTGTTTTAATATTCAAAATTAAGTTTACACACCATTTTTTTATCCTCAATGCCAACACTGGAACTCAGTAACTGCATGTTAAAAAAAGCCAAGATACCAAGCAATTTAGGTTGCAGATAATCAGCCTATGGAGAGGAAAAAAAAAGTTAAAACCCCAAATAATTACAAAAAGTTAAAACCCCAAACAATTAACACATTTCAAAGCCTAAGATATTAAAAAGCAGGTATGAAATGCTAATTCTGAAATACATATGAGAAGAATTCCAAATACACAGCTACTTAAGAAATATGAGTGTTATTGACAGACATCCCTATTAGGCTGTGGGTCTTGCTGTTTTGTAGGATGTTAGGATTTACATGTGTGATGTTGGTTTGTTCAGGCACTTTTTGTTTTGATTTAGTTTTATGCATACTTGGTATGGATCTCTCTGTTACAGAAACACTTAATAGGAGATGTCAGCCTTTCTTGCACTTTTGCCCTGAAGTAAGTGCTGTTCAGAGAACGGCAAATTGTCTTCACTCTCACAACAGCCAAAAAGAAATTACTGAAAGAACTGAGCATGAATATTTTGATGTCCTTACCATTTGTTCTGGTGAAGTTATTTCCCTAGGTCCCTGATAGGAATCATCCTGGGAGGCAAATGAAGCCAGTATGGACAGACCATTGAAGACTTGCTGGTAGTGCTCCCCAATCCGCAGCAGCAACTCGTTATGCAGGCCCTGGTAGTCCTGCCTCAGCAAGCTGCCCAGCTCTATCTCAGTCTCATTCTGCACTCAACCACAAAGAAATATCACTTCATTTCATCACAATGTAATTAGAGCACTGAGAGACAGGAGGCAATGGGCTCTGGTTGCTTTGTTATAGAAGTCAAAGCTTTCAAACAGCTCAATGTTAGACAAACCAAGCTTTTAGAATTTGCTAAGTTCATAAAATATCTTAGAAACATTCTTCAGAGCTAATGGAAGTGATTATAAACAATAAGAACAAAATTTCTGCATTTGCAATTTTTCAACCTCTGCTTTGCAATACCTTAATTTAAGTACAGCAGAAAGGTCACTATGCATCAGCTGTTCCTCCTAATCTGCAGGTGTAACAGGGCAAATGCCAATTTACCTTGAGGTAGTGCAGTGCCCGCTCCAGCTCATCCTTGGTGCAGGAACAGACCAAATGAGAGAAGATGTATTTGAAGTTATTGATTAAAATCTCTCTTCTGTTCACATTCAATTGCTTTGCTATGGTTCTGATAAGTGTGGAGGCTGCAGGACTGGCCTTGGCTGCAAGGTCAGGAAGCAAAACTTGCAGGGTCCTCTGGTAAATGAAGAACTACAGTTAATGTAAACAACAAACAAACAAACCCTCCAAAACCCCAGGGTTAGGCTAAGTTCCATTTGGGTCAGTACCACAACAAACATGTCTGGTCGTAATTATCACCATGGGTATGAACAGAGAAAAACTTTAATACAATGCATATACCTAGCAAAAATGCAGATAGAACCAAATACTTCAGGAGCTGCTTCATCCAGTTCATACTAAGAAACATGTAAATAAAAAGTGAGCTAGCATTTTTTGTGTCAATCCAGATTCTCCACAAAAGGAAATCTTAAAAAACCCCAAAAGAAGTAAAAAACCCTAAAAGAAGTAAAAAAGGTAGTTTTTGTCTTTTGAAATAAGAAAGCTGACACCATGCAAAAATCACACCTTTCAAAGGATGCCTCCAAGTGCACTAAATCATTAATATGTTTAATGAGGATTCTAAACTTGAGCTCCTTATCCACCATACTTGAATTGGCACTGTATTCATCCCTCTAACTCCTTGATAAAACTGTTCCTCTGCATTTGCACTCTCACTTGCAGCATTCCCAAGAGAAAGTGTGGATTAAAATTGAACTGCACAAGCACAAGCACAAAATACCAAAAAGGAATGACCAACTTACTGAGAGAAAGCGATTTAGATCTGGAAAATCAAATACACTGGCAATCTCAGATAACATGTCCAGAGCCATTTCTCTCTGGTGAGCAGCTGTTTCTTTCTGCAGCTCATTGCCCTGGCACGAAGCACTCAACACCACCATCTGGCTGGAGTGCAGGGATTCCACTAGAAACTAAGCATGAAGAAATAGGTATTTAGTATTATTTTCCCCTTGTTCACTCCCTAAAACTAAACACAAAAGTTTTACTGGTCTTTCTATGCATCATTTTTCTCTCTCATTTATTGCACATAGATCTATGATTATTACTTTGCAACAGAACTGGATTATCATCCACTTAATAATTACATTCAATTTTGCAACCCTGGATTCAAATATTACATTACTAAAAAAATATCGAAATTAGAAAAGTTTGCTTTTGACAATTTTCTTTTTAAACAGATCTTGCTGTCATTAGGTAATGGATATAACAAAAAACCTAAATCAATCATGGCAGAATCATGCTTGTGCAATATTGACTCCAATTGCAATTTTAAACCATAGTGTCTTGCAGCAATAGTACTGCAGAATGCAAGAGCATCTACTTCAGAATGAAGCATCTAGGGAATAAAACAGAGAAGCAACACTATTGAGGGGAGATCACAATAAAGTCAAAGATTTCCCATTCCTTCCTGAATGTTGGTAGGGCTTTTTCCTTAAAATAATTTCTTTCTTGTCCTATGAGATTTCACCTTGAGCAATACTGCAATTTTGACCTAGAGCTCCATTTTCAAGATATACACAAAGAACCCAAAGACATGCACTTTCTAAACCACACACCCTTTTTACCTGACAGATTGGCTTCTTGTACTGACTGAAAAAAGCCTGCAGCTTTATGGCCTTGGCTGCTGCCAGGGCCCGGATCTCTGCGTACGCTGCTCCGGCCACCGAAGGTGACTTGGACAACAAACAGTGCAGCAAATGCAGGAGGGCAAATGGCACCAATTCTCCTTTGGATGCCCTTACAAAGTAAGCAGAAGAAAAAGGATTAAAAAGTAAAACGGAATTGTTGCATTAATAAAATGACTTAAGAACATGTAATTGCCATCATGCAAAATGAGTCCTTCTTGTATCTGCATGGCTTATCTGTACTTCCTGTGACAGGGCAGAAGAAAATGAGAAAATGAGGAATGTTCCACAGGAATCAACAGCTCTAAACAGCTGCAATGGACTGGGGAAAGGATGACTTTAAAATAAGTAATCTTACACTTAAAGAAAGGGCACTTTGTATCACAAACCGACACAACTTGGCAATTTTCAACATACTATCAAAAATACCTTCCAATATCTCCTGTTGTGAGAATCAAGGTGTCTTTAAGCTCATTATTTCTTGACATTTTGGCATTTGTGTAGGCTTCTTTCATCCTTGAAACAAACAGCTGATACACAGGAAAACAAAAACACATCAATGTTAGTGTTTGACACTAGTGAAACAAAACCATAGTAAGTTAGGAACAAAACCCAAAAATAAACATGAATTCACCTCTTTTATGAATCCTTCTTCAGAGTCTAAGGATTCTAGTATGTTCTTTATGCACTTACTGAAAGCCACTCTTACATCTTTGTCTGGATCTTCCATTAGATTTAATAAAGACCCCACAAGAGACTTCACACTGGACTCATCAGTATTAAAATCCAGGTGTTTGCAAAGATGAGGTATATTTTCTATAAATGCTGGATTGGAGGAGGGAAGAAAAACATGTTTTTAATAGTTTTTCAAAATCTACTGAAACGCACAAAAGAGTGAGGCAAACAAACCATAAAGCACACTTTACTTTTTTAACCAAAAGAATAAATATTGTGAAATCAGAGGAGATATTTAAAATTCAGATTTTATCAAGTATTACAGTTTTAGATATAGCCATAGACCAAATTTAAGCCAAGGCAGCTTAAAAAGAACATCACTGACAACATTAAATATCAGCAGTGATATCAATTGAAATACAACACTTCAAACATCAATAGAACTACTAAAAACCCAACACAGAATAAAAGGAATGGAGAAAGGTACAGATATAATGACTTAGTACCTCAGATGGAAGTGTAAAATGTTACTAAAGGTAAAGCCACATACCTAGCTTTACTGAGCTGGGTGCTTTGCTCTCAAGTAGAATGAAAAAGGGCTTGAAAACACAGGCTTGCACAGAAGAAGTTTTTCCTAGAGCAGAAGTCACAGTAAGGCTGCTACACAAAATATCATGAGTAACATCCTTTACAGCAGAGTCTGCTAAGGAAGGTCGGAGGTGGAATGGACCGGAAAGACAACAAGATAACTTCCCAACTATAGCAGCACAAGCCTCCTTCACCAGCTCAGACTCATCTTTGATTTGATTTCTGAAATGAAACAAAAATGAAATTGTTTAAATAGGTCATTTACCTAGAAATTAGTTTTTCTACATTGTCTGAGTTCTCTAACTACACTGCCAGTACTATCAGGACAGCTTAAGGATGATCTGTCTCACTAAATCATCTTTGTCCTTTTCAGATCACCCTCATGTTCTGTTAAATGTTTGAAGCAGCACTGGGCATGGTGAGGCTGGCATGCTGTAAAGAAGAAACTGAAGACTAACACAAAAGGACAGAAGACACTAAGACATATATAAAAAAGCCAGAGAAGCTGCAAAGATTTGAAGAGACATATGGACAAATACAAGATGGATTTCACTGACAAAGATATCTCTCTTCCCCTCCTAATTTAAATTAGGGTCTCGACCTAGCAAAGGAACTTGCATACTGACATAGTAAGTGAACATTATTCTGTCACACAGACATCATCATGTGCACCTATCCTGTTGATAGCTGATGATTTCTGAAATCAAGATCTAGCAAATTTCGGATGAAACGAACATTTATTTTTATGTTTATGCTCCATTTATTATTTGCCCATTTTTCTTCTCGTACAAAGACAGAAAAGCTGCATTAATACATACAAAAGAGCTCTGGGAATCACGCTGCAGGACTGCACAGGATGAAGCAGGAGAGAGAATCCTTTAACACAAGTAGCCCGAATTATTTCATGGTGACTTTGTAATGCCCAGTGATAAACTGATTTTCTCCAATCCAGATGAATGTTTTTTGGGAAGAGAGTCAGAAGGAACACACAGTGTGACTGAGTTTGGGGTGCTAAAGAGAAAAAAGAAAAAGCAAAGAATTACTTGATTTAAACTTTTAATACCATCACTCATCATAAGAAGGCAAATAAAATAATTTTACTTTAGAACAATCATTCCGAAGTGGAACTAGGCTTTATATACTTTAACATACTTACAGAAACTCTGTGCAGTTTTTTGACTCAAAACTGGAGGACCAAACCCCCAAATAGATGGCTTGAAAGAAGAATCATCAGGATGGCTGTAAATCCAGGGCAGAGACAGCAATCCACATAAGTCATCAAGAATCTGATCACTCAGTGGAATTTTCACTAGGGGAAAGAAGCAGCAAAACAAACATTTATAAAACATTTTATGTTCTTAATTTGCCACAAAATATTACTTTTTCTATCAACAAAGATTAGTGTCACTGTTCCCCCATGTTAATATCATACTTTTTAGGCATGTAATAATAAATCATGTAGTGCTAGATCAGAATAACCTAAAAATCTCATTAAACAGATGACAGAATGTAACACATGAGCAGCAGAATTAATATAACTTTGGTATCTCTGGATTTGTGCAAAGACTTTCAGCTGGACTTCTGGGTGTCTGGTAAGCCTGAACTCACAATAACATTTCAGTCTTGGTAACTGAGTCTGTCCTCCATCCTAGTAGTTACTTTTAAAAAACATGGAAGTACTCAATATTTTTGGTACCATGCATGCCATGTTTGCTGAAGCTGTTTGCAACCTTTGAAATTGTTGAGTGGAACAAAGACAGTAAATTATGCTGCCTCTATGTCTTTAAAAGAAAACTGCTAAAGTTTTTTTCCTTTTTTATGTATTTTCACTATCCCCATATATTCTCTTGATCAGATAAAAATCAATAGAAGTACAGACAAAAAGAAGTAAATGATGTTCATAAAGGAATGCAAATGAAGGTCTCTAAACAGAAAATAATTTTTTTTTTTACTTAACCTTTTTTGTAAAAGAGTTGGAATACTAGCACAAGATTAATAATTTCAGCATCTCAACCAAAACAGACTTAATACAGCCAGATGAATTCCTAATTTACAAAATACAAGACAATCTTGAAGGGTTTCTTACCTTGAGCATATAGCAAAGCATCAAAGATTTTTACTACTCTGTCAGTCACTTGTTCTAGATTAACAATCTGTGTAGCAGCCTCTAACAGGTTTCTGCAGACTTTCACTACTCTTGTGGTAAAATCAGAGGAAATCCACTTGAACTGTATATTCACCATTGAATCTGAGGAGCTTGGAGTATTCTTACACAGATCAGAGTTACATGGATGAGACACTCCATGCTCTTTACTGTTAAAACAGAAATCACATCAATGCAACAAATGCAACAAACCATATTGAATATTAACTGCTTGTAAGCCAAGTTAGTGAGGAAATGCACTTCTTCAAAATGTACAGGACCCATCCAGTACTGATTACTGATCCTGAGACACAGACAAGCATTACATTACACAAATTGTAACGAGAGTTACAAGAGACTCTTGGTCCCAGCTTCCCCTTGGTCCTTTACCTGCTGGAATCTGTTGGGGGAGAGCAATGAACGATGCACAGAGCAGCCAATCGCAGAATCACAGCGATCCCTTCCACAGGCTGGAGAACATCCCCTGGCAGAGCTTCTTCCTCAAGGACAGATATTAAGGATGCAGCTTTCTTAGTGATGGCATTCCACAGAGCACTCTTCAGTTTCATGTTTACAGGGCTAAGTCTGTAATTTGACCATATTAATTATTTTCCAACACACACTTTATTTCAGAAAAGATAAATAATCATAGCAAAACCAGAGCTAATCCATATTTGATATAGGATTAGGAAAACACCAAATGAAGCTTTAGCTTAAATGTGTTTCTAGGAAGGAAAAGATCCTAAAAGATCCTACTCTGAATTTTAGTATGACTCATATCAGACTTATCTGAAAGGCTACAAACCTGTAACTCTACAGTCCTTGGAAGGTCTTGGCAACCATAAAATGGCAAATGTTACACCCATCATTGAGAAAGGCACAAAAAGAGAATCCAAAGAACTATAGGCCTGTCAGCCTAATCTCACTCCCTCGGAAGATTATGGAAAAAGTTTTCCTTGAACTAATTTCTACCTGCATGAGGGACAAGAAGGTGACTGGAAACAGCCAGTATGTATTTATGAAAGGAAAATCATGCACGCGATTCCCTTCTACAGTGAGACAGGCAGCTCTGTGGAGAAAAGTGGCTGCTTTTTCACACAACTTCAACTGTCTACAAAGTTAGGCTGACAAGAGCTTTGTGAAGGTCTGTATGACAAGTCCTGCAACTGGCAAAAAAACACCCAATGCAATAGAACAGACTGAGAGCTAACTAAGTAATGAGCAGCTTTGGAGAAAATGACCCAGCAGGCTTGTGGAAAAGTGGAATATTAGAGCAGTGTGACCTTGTTTTAGAGAAGGTCAACTACACCCTGGGCTGTACGCAAAGAGTGAAGGCTGATCACAAGCCCACACCTGGAGTGCAGCATGCCCAAGGCAATTTTGAGTGCCCAAAGAGGTCAACTGCTGGCACAAGTCCAAGATAATCAGGGAGCACAGCACAAGCAGAGACTGAGAGAATTGGTTTTGTTCATCTGAGCATAACTTAACTAGACCTGCTTTAAGTACATCCAGTGTAAGACCACAGCCACACACAATTCTGTCACACTAGGTACGCTCCCAGCTTTGTTTTCAGTGTGAAAAAATGAAAATATCTTTCATTGAACACATTCAAAACAGCCTCTTTAATAAAGTTTAGCTTAAAAATCACCAATAGATTTTGATCCCTCAAAATATAATTTAGATTTTTTCCCCAGAAGCTCTTTCAATCTGTTAAGAAGAAACTGCCTCAAGAAGTTGTCATTACTATTCAATAGGCAAATGACTATAAAAGCAATTACTAAGTGCCATACATTAAAGGTGCAGGAGATTTCTTTGGATGTTTTGTGGATAGGCTCAGTCTCCGTCTTTTCTCTGGAACTTCGTCACTGCTGCTGCTCCACCCATCAGTATCTGAGCTCTCCAGCTGGTTCTGCTGAATCTCCTCAAAGATTTCTTCTGTTTGTGTTTTTAATGCTGTATAAAGTGGACTCACCAGATACTGGGATGGACAAACAACAGAGGTACCATGATGTATGCTCTGCCTTACTTAAAGATGTGGTATTATTGCTTTTGACTTAAAATATTAAATTGCTAAATATCATGGTAAAATAGTTCATAAAAACCTTTCCCTTCAAAAAAACCTTATTACAAGATGAAAGCTCTTATGAGCAATGAAGTTTCCTGTTCTGCTACTAGAGAGGATGCAGCTTGTTCAGCTGTAGTTCCTGGCATAATACCTTGCTACCAAAGCCATCACACAGACACACAAAGTTTAACAAACAGGTAGGATACACAGATGAATGTATGGAATAGAGGCACTCAGCACATCAACAACTCATTGTCAACAACCTTGTTATGTTTCTTAACTAAAATAGGGTTTATTTAGGTTGAGTATCAGGAACAAACTTTTGATTAGGAGGGTGGTGACACACTGCCACATGCTGTCTGGAGAGGTGGTGGATGTCCCATCCCTGGAAACACTCAAGGTCAGGTTAGGTGGGGCTCTGAACCCTGATCTAGTTGAAGCTGTCCCTGCTTATTGCAGGGAGTTGGACTAGATGGCCTTTAAAGGTCCCTGCCAACCTAAACCATTGACTCTGACTTAATCTTTTCTGTCTACCTGTCCCTAACAAACATGACTAAATGGAAAGTAAGAGCATCTCAAACTACTGCACACTACTTGCAAAGCTGCCCTCATATGAGTGCACTCTGGGCCTTACTCCCATCTCATATTATCATTATGGACAGTTGTGCCTGCATAGCTTATGGACAGTTTAATACATCTGAAAAACAGGAGTCCAGCTACATCCAACAGGTTTAAGAACCCTGACCTGTACAAACATGTGAAACAATTAAGAAAAAAGGAGTATCAAGCTAAATGTGCAAATAAAAATTACATTTCCTAGATTTTTTTCTTTGCATAGGTATAGGTTTTTGTATATGACCTATTCACACAATAAATTCAGTTTTTAAAATAAACCTACCTTTTGTTCTTCCTGAGTTCCAAGAATATTCACAAAAATTCTACATATGGTACTGATACGGGTCTTTCTTATTTGTAAGGCAGATTCATAGCCAGCTGGAACAAACTCCAGAAAATACTGCAGCATGTGGCAAAAACCAGTTTTCAGCTTTTCAGACTGAAGGCACCTAAACACATCCCCTTCAAACCACGAGCAGAGCTTCTCTAGCAGCATATTCAAGTAGACAGGTTCAATATTTTTGTAAGAATCTGCTTCAAAAGGCAGCAATGTCCTCACCAACAGTAAGAGTGGCTCTCCAAAGAGTTCTGATTCCTCAGTATCCATTTCAAGTGTTGATTGTAGAATTTCAAAAAAGACTGAGAAGAAAACACTGGCCAGCTGTTCTGGAGGTCCTCCTAAATGAATTAACTTCACTATAAACTTCATTGCCAAAGTTTTAACTTTTGGACTGCCATACTCTAACAAGGAGCAGCCTATCCCCCAGAGAATAATATCCTGTCTTACAAAGAAGATATCTGCAACAATATTTGTCAGAATAGACATTAATACAACTTCCAAATGCTCTATATTTGGCATACCCATCAGCTGTAATGGTGCCAGTCTTAAATATCCCACGTTGTCACTTATATTGCTGGAAAATCTCTGCACAGTCACTGGCCAGACCAGTCCATCTCCCCAGAGATGCCTCTGTGCATCTCTTTCATGCAAGATGATTAAGTCTTGAAAAAGATGTAGCAAGTCTTTAGTTAGTGCTTCAAAAATGGAGCCACTCTTCATTTTAAACAGAAAAAGTAAAGAGCAGATAACATCACAAATGTTCTTGTGCAATGCGTTGCAGTTTGGAGCTGCAGCAATACGAAGAAGCCTTGTTATGATCCAGTTACTAAATTCTAGGACAATAAAAGAGAATCTTTATTATTAAGATAAAAACTATAAAAACTAAAATCTCCAATTGAGTACCTCCCTAAGAGCAGACTGCTTACCACTAAAACTAAACTCCTTGAGATAAATGCTTGTAGGCTCAGTAAACAGAATCTTCACTGGGACATTTATTCAGCAAATCCCATGAAAAAAGAGGAAAAGAGGGGGCAGAACATGGGTTGGGAATGGAAGACACACATTTTACACTGGTATTTCCAGACATTTTCCTCTGTCAAAAAAACACCCCCAAGCAGTGAATACATGTAGAGCATATCTCATCAACACCATATAATAATATATCTATGCAATGGTAATGGATAATGTCAAAGTCTGTCCTGAGAAATTTCCATTATCACAAGTGTTAATCCATTCACAATATTCAAAGTCTATCATCACATTCACTCATAAATTTATAATGATGAACTTACATATCTGCCTTTTTCCCCTTTCTCTTCTTTGGATGATCCCACTGTCTGCAAATTTAAATCCTGAAAATATCAAGCTTCAACATAAGCATTTTTAACAACTCACCAATGCAACTGCATTTGGTTTCCTCCTGATTTCCATCCACATTTACAAACATAAGTGGGGAAGATTTCATGATATGTTGAATAAAATCAAGCAACATCACAGAACTTGGTTGTGAATCTGATTTCTTAATGAGTTCCAAGGCAACTTTAAAGAAATGAGACAATATTCCAATCAGCATGGCAACAAACCACTTTAAAAATTTTGTTCACACCTTATGAGGAATATTTTTTAAAAATATATAAAAAAAACTATGATATGGTATTAAACCTTTCAAATTATTTATTGTGAGTAGATTTTTTAATCTATGAAGGTAATTGAGTGCATATTGTAAGCCCTCTATGTGACTCTAAACGGTATGAAGAAAAGTATAAATTACTCATTAAATATTATTAATCCCAAATACATTAACATTCAGTTAAAATTCTATTCAGCTGTGTGTTGAATGAAGAAAAGCAAATACTTAACATTTCCCGAGGTTTACAGTCTTGCTAGAGAAACAATGCTGAGAATTGTTTCAAAACTCCAGAATATAAAAAGTTGTAAATGGCAAATTCAGCTAACGAAAGCAGAAGGTTTAACAAAACACTGGACATAGCTAATGTTGCTCCATTGAAACAGGTATCTGAATCATATCAGATTTATCCAGATCCCCCAGGGATCCTATCCAGGGTTAGTTAGTACAAGAAAGAAATTATCTGAGATTCAGACAAGATTTCAGTTCTGAGACACATGTGAATATTAAGAATTGCAAGCTGTGTTACTCATGAACAGTGACATTCCATGACACTCCTGCTTTTCAATGTTGGGAGCATTTGTATCCATATAACCCTGCACAGCATCCACCCCTCCTTCCTTGGGGATGTGTGTGTATGGTTTATTTACATAGGGAACTTCACATCCCAATGGAAAATACTGCATCACTGGCTTTATTAAAAACTAAGTCATAAATGGTATTGTATTCAACTAAAACTTTCTTTAAAGGTTCTCAACTTTTATTTTTGACAGGAATTACTTAAAGTATAAAGAAGACAGTTTTAGATTATAGGAATGTAATGCTTACCAACATCTACCTCTGTAAGAATTCTGTCAATAAACTGGCAAAGTATTTGTCTTGGTTTCTGCACAACTGTGTTGTATTCCTCTGGACTAGCACTAAAATTAAAAAGAATGATATTTTGATGTTACCAATTTTAAAGTACAAAATAATTACTTGGAAGTCTGTCTCAACAGCTTAATGTTAAACACTGACTTTCTTCTACAAGTCTTCAAAAATAAATACAAATTGATTTCTTGGTGGTTTGTAGAGGTTTTGCGGGAGGGGGGGAGGTGTTTGGGTTCTTTTTCAATTTTCTTGTTTTAGTGACCGGCCTGTCCCTCAGCAGTCAGGGCTCGCAGGGTCACAATTTCAGTATACAATTGTACCTCCATATCCGCTCGCTGCCTACTGCAATACAAAGCTCCAGTGCTGGTGCTGCCATTAAAACTGCAGAGCCCGGCAATTCCAGCTCATGGGGCTCTCAGTGAGCGCTCACAGCACACTCAGGCTCAGGCCGGGGCTCTGGGACCACCAGGCCGCTCCCGTCAGCACCTGTCAGCGCCACCCGGCAGGGAGAGAGGGACAGGCCCCGGCAGGGAGCGGGAGAAGGGACCGGCTGAGGTGACAGCCCGGCCCGGCCCGGCCCAGCCGCAGGACACCTCGCACACCTCCTTCTCCCCTTCCCCGCCGCACATGCCGGGCGCGCCTCCCCCAGCGCAGCACAGCCCCGCACACACACGCCCACCATGGCGGCCGCCGGGCCCGTCCTACCCGGCGAGCTCCCGCAGCGCGGGGATCATGGAGGCCATGCCCAGGCCCTGCTCCGCCATGGCGCCACTTTGAATCGGGCGGCGCGGAGCGGGGCGGGCACGGCGGGACGGCGGCCGGCAAGGCCCAAACCTCCTCCCGCGGCGCTACTCGGGTTTAACCGCTTCGTCCCTGTACACGGAGCGGCCGCGGCGGCTCCGGGTGGTCCCTGATGGCTCCCGCGGACACCTCGCCATCCAAGCGGGGCTCTGCTGCACGGACAGGTAACACCCAGCGGGGGCCGAGCGCACCCCGCCGAGCCTCGGCCGGTCCGGCAGTAGCACTGAGCGACCACCCGGCCCCAGCGGGCACTTGGCAGAGTGCGGACAGGGGCTCCAGGCGATGGGCGAAAGGAAGAAAGGCGAGGAGAGGCAGTAAGGAGGAAACTTCGGTGCCAAGGGAGCGCCCGGTACAGCTCCCTCTCCGTCCGCCGCCTCCCGTGCAGGCGGGATGCACCTGGGAGTCAGGTGTGGGACAGCCCCGCCGAGAGCGGCCCCGAGCGGCCCTGGCCCGCCCCCGGCATCGCCCCGCCCGCCCGGGCCGGCCCCGCGGCAGCAGGTGGCGGCGGGACCGGCGGGGCGCTGGCGCTGGCGCTGCGGGACGGGCCGCGGGCAGGTGGGCAGCGAGCGGGGCGCGGGGGCCACCGGGGCCGCTTCTCGGGTGCTGCCGTGTCCGGAGGGAGCGGGGCCGGCGGGAGGGCGCGTTCGGTACGTGAGCGGGCTCGGCGCTCCTCCGCGCAGGTAGCGGTGAGCGGCGTGTGTAAGATACAGACTTTCTTTCTTTGTTATTGTTATTACTTTCTGAGCGTATGTTGCTTTTCGTTACGTTTCTTTTGCGAACGTTTACGTGTGTAAAGTACGGAAGGTGTCGATGAGAACCCCGAAGGGACGGGATCGGGCGCTGAGCGGGAGCGTGTGGCCCCACCTGGGCAGCGAGTCCCGCACGTTCGGGAGAATAAAGGATAAAATAAGGAGTCATGGGCAGGTGCGAACCGCAGAGAGGGTACGCGAGGGCACACTCAGCTCTGAGCTTTGTTTTTGTCATTAGGAGCTCCGGCTCTTTCTGTATTTGTTTATGAACTTCGCTTAGCGTTCTTTCTGGGTTGAAATAAAATCCTCTCGGAGGATAATTCTGTTGCCTGTTTCCACTGTGCTAGGGCTGTGTCGCTTGCATGTAAAACAGCCCACGTATGTTTCAGTTACTTGAACCATTTCAGATGAATGCTTTCGGGAACCTATTGCTAATGTTTCATTCAGAGATGGTTGTTTTTGTCCTGCAGAATACATTTTTGTCATTTCAATAGAATTCTGCTGACCTTTTAAAGGCTGGTAACTTGGCAAGGACCTAAAATACTTCAAGAAACTTTATGAAATGTAACTGGGTTTGGTCTTTGTTTGTTTTTCAGCATATATTGCAATGTTTTCTACTAGCTGACTTAATAAGATATTAGTCCTTCTAGAGCCATTCATAGAGAAAAAGCAGGAACCATGTAGCAATATGTAGTCTGTTAAGTAGAACTTTAATGCTTAAGAAAGACCAAGTACATCTGGGTTTTGTTATCAGTGTTGTTTTGAACGCAAAATTTTCTAGACTATTTCAATTTAAAGTATCTATTATTGTGAAAACAGTGTTCTGAGTTTAAATTTCCAAAACTGAAATGACAGTCGCACTAAGGAAGGTGTAAACTGTACTGCTTGCCAGTTTGATGTAAGCTCCCGTGTCATCCCTGAGGGACAGGATACTGTTGGTACATTAGGAAGTTCAGGAAGACTCTGTTGTCCTAAAAAATAAGCTTAAGTTTACTGAATCATACGGTGATTGTTTTTGCTGATAAAACATAGGTGTGGCACATAAAGTGCCTAATTTTAAAAAGTGCTTTTGCATGGGAATCTCTGGAGTCAACAGTGAGATCATATTAGTATAGTTATTGTAGAAGTGCTTTCATTTGTCACAGGTAGAATGCTACATAAACTTGTTGTGCAGTTTCTGTGAGCATTTACTGAGCATGTAATTCAGGCTATTTTTTTGTTTTGTAGTAAGTGCTTCTAACAAATCAGCAGAGAGATCTTCTGCTTCCCATTTTTCAACTGGGAATTTTAGTTCCCAGTTGCAAAGCCCCATCTGTTGACTTCTCACCATACCATCGAGTTTCTCCAGCTACCTTGGTGTTAGAAGACTCCAATGAGAGTGCCCATAACAACTTCATTGGGCTGTGAAGATGTAAGGAGTCTCCCTCACACACCCTAGTGTTTGATAGACCCTCCAGGGAAACAGCACCTGAAACACCTGCTTTCATTATTTGCTTTTCTTAAGCACAGGATAAGCATCTTCTTGTTTCTTTCTCATATGTCATTGTGTTGCACTTTTATGTCTCTTGGCCCCCAGGAGGAGAAGCAGACATGTTACCATGCATTTGAAGAGAGTGGCTAGTTGCTAATGAAGATAGTGTGCCTGGAGACTTTTCTCCTCCAATGCAGCTGATTCATGTTGGTGAAAGGAATCTGAGATGAGCAGAGCTCAGCTTGCAGTACTTGGGTCAGGGGAAGAAATTCATGCAGATAGGTACAAATAAGTGTCAAATTCAGTGTATGCAGCACTACCAAGATTTCTGCCAAAGCTGCTGTTAGTTTCTGGTTTTTTAATTCTTTCTCTTTTTTTTCTGCTCTCTTCCCTACTTGAACAGTCCTCTCACTGTATAGTTGCATGATTCTTCCACACTCAGGTCTCTCTCTTGCTTGGCTTTCATTATTTATTTACCACATGCTTCAGCAGGTCATTGTACTTATTTTAAGGCAGAGTGACTCTACATTGGACCAGCAGGTCTGAGAGGACAAGAGACTGTTAAGTGTACTTCTGTTCCCTCTGTTGTTTAGTTCTGAGGCATAATTACTGTTCTGGGGGCTCATGTGCTCTGTGGATGTCTGTGAGCTGTTCCCCCAGGAGGCTGGTGGGGCTGCAGTTCAATCTCAGCTGTCCTGCAGGCAGACAAAGGGAGTGCATGGAAGTGCAGGTGTATGTTCCTTGGGCAGACAAAGGGAGTGCATGGAAGTGCAGGTGTGTGTTCCTTGGGCAGACAAAGGGAGTGCATGGAAGTGCAGGTGTGTGTTCCTTGGGCAGACAAAGGGAGTGCATGGAAGTGCAGCTGTGTGTTCGTTCCTTGGTGCCTTCAGGAGCTGAGAGCTCTCAGGTGCTGGGGGGAAATGCAGCTGAGATGGTGCCCGGGGCTCCTGTGAGCTGGGCTAAGGAATTTTGCTCAGTGTCAGGGTGTGCTTATGGCTCCTCATCTGCAGGGCTGCTGCAGGAACACCGAGAGGCTGTGAGTGCTCCAAGCCACATTTCCCTGTGCAGTCATGCAGGTGCCTGACCTTTGGACACAGGGCACTGCTCCTCTGCACTGCAAGAATGTGGATTTCAGCCCTTGAGCCTTTTATCTCTGCCTCTGTTGCTTAGTCAACTGGGCTGGAATGAAGTGGCACAGATTGAAATGATGTGTCACCCTGAATATTCATCTGATGATTAAACAAAAGAGTGAAAAATGGGAACAGTAAATGGTGGTAAGGACAACAGGTGAGCCAGAAACCTAAAAGCAGATTATGTACATCCAGCTAAGCAAAAACTAACAGGTACAAGAGGGGAAAAAAGTGGAAAAAGAAAACATATAACACTAAAATCTATTTGACTTCTAAATGTAATCCTGACAGGTCCTAGTCCTGCAAGCCTTTATTCATGTTTTTTCTATGAACAAGCCTACTAATATACTACTGATAATGTAAAATACAGTATTTAGTAATTTGGAGAATTTGATTGATCTGATCAAATGCAGGGAATGCTAAGTGTTAGCCATGGCCTTGGTATTTACATGATTGTTTTGCTACTTCTAAATGTAGCCTGATGAACTCCTAGGTTTTTATGTGGAGGTGTGTACTTGGTTACTGCTCTTACATACAGGTGTCCAAGGAGAATAAAGGTACTGCATCACAATAGCTCATCAGAGACATTGGTATTGCGAGGTCTCAGAAATAAATGATGCATAAAGCAAAATGTGTGCTTCTCCATGCATGCTTTGGGTGGGAAAAGGATTATCAACCCACTTTCAGGGCTCTCTTGGCAGATGTTTCCTTAATAATAATAGTCACTAGAGAGGAAAAAAAAGAGCTGGATCCAGTATTTCCCACTTTTGTTCAATTAGTGTATTCATCCTTTCATCTTGTCAATAATCAGTGCTTGAATAGACTGATTAAAAACACTGACATGTAGAAAAGCTGAAGTACTAAGTCATATGTTCTCAGCAAGATTATATTTATTTGAATGCGATTTCAAGAGTTTGTTTCTGTCGAAGATTCAGGACTCACTTGTTTCTCTCAAACCAGGTGTTCTCTGATAGCTTTTCTTTTCCAGAATTTTTATAGTTTGGAATGTTTTTGTCTTGCTGATTTATCAAGCTCTTCTTCTAACTGCACATCTCCTCCCATTGTGTTTGCACATGCCCCACTGCTTCTCTTTGCACTAATTTATTACCTTATAACAAAGGGAAATGAAATTCTTTCTTTCATAGCCTAAAGGTAAAGCAGTGTAAAGTAGTATGAAGTTGCAATTTTCCATTGAGCTGATTATTTTACTCTAGTCCTTCCAAGCTTGATTTATAGAGTCAAGATATATTTAATTGTAGCTAGTGAGGATTCCCTCCTCCCTTTCCAGGCAATATGATGTATTCAATGCAAAATAACTGAATATTAAGATATATTTCATTGTACTTATCATCACCCTTATCAGCCACTTCATTGTGGCTGCGTATTTAATTGTATGGGGCAGAATATTCTTCACATCCCACATTACAAAGTATTAGAAGCACATAAATTTAGATTTTATCAATAATTTCTTCTTTTAAAAAAGAGAATTACTTATAATTAAAATCATATCAATAATTCCCTCTTTTTTAGAAGAGTTAGTTGTCACTTGCTTGGCGTTGCATATGGAGGTAACCACTAGTGCAAGACCTATTGGACAAATTCTTCTAAAAGCT